TTATTATTATTATATTATTGTAATAATAATATGAATATAATAATATCATTATTATAATATTAATTGTATTTATATTACTATTATTATATTATAATATTATAATTAATGTTAATATAATTATAATTATTATTAATTATAATTATAATAATTATAATTATACTTATAATTATAATTTATGATTATAATTATTATTATTATTATTATTACTATTGTAATTATTTTACGGAGTAATTATAATAATATTGATAACTATAGTTACAATTATAGAGATAAATATTGTAATTATAATTATAATTATAATTAAAAATATAATTACAATTTTAATTATATCTATATTTATAATTAGTGTAATAAGTATAAATTTTTTCATTTTAAATTTAATTTTAATTATTATTATTATTATTATTTTTATAGTTACGATTATAATTATAATTTTATTTAAATTATTTTTGTAATTGCAATTATAATAATTATAATTATAATTATAATTATAGAAATATTCAAATCAGATCAGATCAGAAAGATTCAGATCAGATCAGAAGGATTCAGATCAGATCAGAAACATTCAGATCAGATCAGACCAGATCAGAAACATTCAGATCAGATCAGAAAGATTCAGATCAGATCAGATCAGATCAGAAAGATTCAGATCAGATCAGATCAGATCAGAAAGATTCAGATCAGATCAGATCAGATCAGAAAGATTCAGATCAGATCAGATCAGAACTTAAAAAATTCAGATCAGAAACATTCAGATCAGGCGAAGAGAACAGCTTCTAAATCGACTGATTCTATTGAAATTTATGAAGTTCTGCCTAAAGAGGCTGTATTGACTGATTTTACTGAATTATGAAAAAAATTATACTTAAAATATATTTTAATAATAAAATAAAGAAAAAGTTATATGATAAAATAGCTAAAATGGTCATCTACAGTAACTTCATCCAATACAACCAAAAAATAACTACAATCTTACTTTTTCTTATTATTACACAATTCAGCGCGTAAAATCAAAAGTTACGTGTTTAGTTAAAAATTTGGCTTATAAACCAAAAAATAAAGTCATCAAACGAGCTCATAAAACAAGTATAGTGAATATTGTGTACTTGGGTTTTCTAAAAAGATATTAGTGAAATAAATTTTCTTGGATAAAAATATAACTTAAATTACAATGAACATACATTCATGAGCACTAATGTTTAACATGAAAATTAAAAAGAGTAACTATCATTACTAGTTATTATGATCACTACGAGTCACTTTTTTTCAATTTTTCTTAATTCAGTCATATACTCCGTATTATTCATTTTTTCTATTTTTTCACTACATACATGAATATACTACTTTAATAATATAGTTTTAGAGTTTATTACAATTAATATTTATTGGATCTTTACATATATGTGTGTCCACATTTACATTTTTATACAAACTAGCTTAGCACCCTTGCAATGCATGGTGTGTGAATTCATCTAAAAATTATTTAATTAATATTCATTGTTAACATGTGTCCATATTGTAAAAAGTTAACTGATAATGAAAAAAATGTAATAATGAGACAGCACGTGTAATATTACCAAAAGCATATACGAAATATATATAAGAATATAATAATAAGTTGTCTATACAATTGATTGAAAATTAGAGATTAATTATGAAACACATTATGGACATCGTTCATAATTTCGCTACAAGAACTATCGTCGTCATCATCATCATCATTTTGAATGATGATTTTGAGACCTCCACAATTACTAGACAACATGATCCCAAGTATACTTTTAGCCTTGAAACCGCAACATATAGCAATATATATATGGGTACAAACTGGGGTTTTAAACATATACATGAAAGGTTATGCATGCTTTGTGAAAACGAAAAAAAATTAAACCGATGTCATTGGAAATGATACTCTATTTTGTCAACTAAATAGGAAACTTTCATTAATATATACTGAAATATTGAGTTTTTAATTGGACTACACTATCATCCAATACTCTTGAAAGATTCAATGATTCTCTTGGACGATAATTCTTTTCCATTCCTTTTATTAGGTTTCTATACATATACCTTTCTTACAAACGTTTTCGTACGCAAAGACACATCAAAATGATGTTATTCGAAATAGCTATCCTTCGATTATCAATTTTTGTAACTAAACTCTTTTGCGCAGCCCCTCGAACTAATAGTATATTCTCTATATGTTTTTGTGGAATGCCTCAGTTTGGGTTTATGGAGAAACCTTTTTGCTAATAGGGATATATAATTACTATTAGCCCCCTATAGGTCAAAATTACTAATTTAACCATGCATTTCTTTAAAATCAATTATTTACACCTTGAATTCAGGTTACTCGCACTATTTGCCCTTTTGGTCAACATTAATCACATTTAACTTCATATCTTTCTATATACAAAGCAAAGTGGAAAAAGTGAACAATATTTCCGTCTAAAAATATAGGTAAAAATGGGTCGAAAGTTCAAAACCATGGTTACTATTTCATGGGTCACGGTCATTATTACAGAGACGGAACTGGGAGTTCATAAATTTTTATGAACTTTCGTTTGACATCAGTATAGTATTATAAATTTGAAAAAAAAACGAAGTTGCAATTGCTGGAGATTTTCAGATTTAATTTTTTTCTTAAATAGATCATAGTGTTGAAGTGTCTCATTATCAAATATTTTGTTTACCTCTTTCAGTATTTTTTTTAAAATGGGTCTGATTTAACAAAAAAAGTCCATTTTCTTTATTTTTACACGGAATGTTTGACTTTTTTAAGCCATTACTATTTAAAAAAATGAAAAAAAATTATAATTATAAAAGTAAGGCTTTAATTAAATAAACATTGTTGGGTAAATAAGATCTAATATAGAAACCATATTTCAATTCGATACAAATCTGTAATAAAATCCAAAAGTTTAAATAATAAATATGTATTATTTTAAGAAAACTACTAAAAAGAATATTAGAGCTGAGGCATTGGATCACTAAAGCTATCGACACACTCACAATTTTAAAATAATTATGTGTTTATATAGGTGTAACTTGGAGCTTAAAAACGTAATTGCTTTTCTAATTTGTGTTGCCATTATTGACGTGTGTTTTTATATGAAATACGTTTTATACAAAAGTTGTACTTACCTAATTAAAATTTTAGCACTGAAAATTTGTTCAATTTTAAGTTTTTTCAAATATTAAGATCAAATTGCAGGGGGCGGAGCCAGAACATCAAAGAAGGGGGTCATATTCAGGGGAACAATAATTTGCATTGACAGATAATTCCATATATATGTGTATATATATATATATATATATATATATATATATATATATATATATATATATATATATATATATATATATATATATATAACAAAATGGGTTATTGATCTCCATCGCGCGCATAGTGGCAATGTCTGTGATTTCTTATAATTAGTTGTTGGGGTAATAGGTCAAACAGAAGGCTGACCCAAATACCATCGCATGCCCAACCGGCACAAGAACGCTAATAACAATGCTCAGGGCGTAGACCAATTCGATCGGGGATCCCTCTCGCTTGGGATCTATACTTCGGGACATTATGTCCCAAACGGGACCAAAAACTTGCAAGCTTTCTCGCAACAGTGTCTGTAATACCAAGATATTGGCGGGAAATAAAGAATTGGCAGGAAGCACATTTAACCAAATATGGGAGATTCTATGGTTGGAGGTTTGCTAATCACAACACGCCACATCGCCTCCACCACCTACCACCACATAGACACATAGTATTGATATTCACATTTATTTCATTGTATATGGTTGACAAATTTACATTCAATAGCTCAGTCTCTCTCTTTACTCTCTCTGTAACTCTTAGCATATACTAGAAGTTAGAGGCTTAGCTAGACTCGGTAAGAGTGTGTTGTAAGTGTTCCATATTCGCTAAATGAGAACCATATGCACTTTAGCCTCTTAGTTTGCTCTTTAGTATTGTCGTCAACTCATTAAACAACCACTTAGAAATTAGAATACAAATGTGACCAAAACCCGAGGGAACGTGTTGGGTTTTGGAGTGCGAGGACTTAACTTTAATATTAATGATAAGTAATCAGATTGTGTCGATCAATATGACAATATAGTTTAAGGATGTCAATATAAAAGCATCTTCAATGCAACATTGCCTACTTTGCATATGTGACATGTAGGTGATAATATATTTGTAGTATAATATATTACTCCTTATCTGAATGATTTATCAATTTTCCGTAACTTTTTTTTGCATAATGTCAAGGGAAACGTGTAGATGTAGACATTGTACTTGACATTTTTGCTAAAGATATATAAAAACTAAAATATACTAGTAGAAGATAATATAAAGAAGAAGAGAGAGAAATTCTATTTTTTTGTTTATATATCTCATGTCACGTATACACCGTGCACATTGTTACATTGGAGATAATCTAATACCTAATACTATTTAGATTAAAAATATAGTACTTCTATTTAAAGAAACGGACTTGCTTTACTGGTATTTAAGGAAAATAAATTGATAAGATCGAGTGCATACTGTAAATTATATTGTTGGGTATCTATACTAGTAGATCGAAAGTGTTAATTTTTATAAATTAGTTTGCTTTTTGTAAATTAGTTTTTTAAGATTAGCTGAGAGCTTGCAAAGTAGCTATCTTTTGTTAGCAACAGATAACTATTTTTAATTGATTTTGTCTATTACACAAGATCACTTTTCTTAGTATTAGGAGGGTTGGGACAGAAGTAATATTATGCATGTATCGTGTGAGTTATGTCATATGCATAAAGTAGTCCATGAGAGGATATATGAGAGGATCTAGGGCAGTATGGGTTAAAATACAGGGCAACTTACTCCTTTCAAATACTTTTTAATGTAATATTTTGTATATGTAGTGCACCCGTTAATGTTGTCTACCTAGTATAATTATTTTCTATATCATTCCAACTCAGATATCTAGATCCATGCATAACGCCTCTTAATAAGATGGCGCTTAGGCAAATGGTTTGTAATGCAAGACGGACTTGATTAAGTTACGAATGGAACCGACAGCGGCGAGGAAGGAGACGATGAAGCAAACGAAGCTAAGTGTGTGCAGCGAAATCCAAGACAATGACCATTTCTGAATGTGTGCTTGGAGAATATACATCTTGATGGGGAAATAGATGGTGAGCGGCCAGAAGGAGATGGCTCCTAGCAGACCGACGAAGGCGTTGAAGAAGGGGAATATTAGCGCCACTAGCATTGTGGTCATGACGTATGTTGTTCTCCAGACTATCCTAAACAAGCTCACCTCCAACCTCCCAACAATGTTGTATTCCGCTCTCATGAATCTGCTTGTTCCTCCCCACTTTCTCATGCACCAGCTCTCCACAAATTCAAACACCGGTTGGGAAAATACCTACATGACACGAAATAATTGCAAATTGAGCTGCCTTTCATCTTTTACTAGATACCAAACTTGTGTGATGCACGAGCAGTTAATAATATATGAGAATACAATTTGATTTATCTAATAATTTCAGTTTGTAAATATTCTGTTAATAAGAATATAATGTTTATTTTTCCTTATAAAATACTCTATTCAATAAAAATACGTAGGACTAGGTTTGCCAAAAAAACATTAACGGAAACGGTTAAAAATAATTGAAATACTTTTCTCATTTTTTTGTCAATATGTTTCATTCGCTTTTTAAGATTACATATCTATTTTTGTCATTGTACAATTTTTTAATATTTCCATTCCTATATTTTTTACAACTTATACTCCCTCAATATTATATTGTTTGCTACCTTTTCATGTATCTTTTTATGTATCATTTATATTTTTAGTATATTGGCTTAGCTTTTTCTTACCTTTTTGAAGTTATAATTGTATTTTTTTAACTAGTGTCAAATCAAACAACACATTACATTTTGGGACAGAAGGAGTACAAGTTGTCAAGCACTAACGTTTATATTTAAACTGAGGTAAATTAACAAATATTAGCAATGCGGTCAGTTTTTAATAAATAAATTTTGGTCAAATAAAGTCGACTATGTTAGATGTGTAAAATTAAACTATTGTAGCAATTAAAATATTTCTACTTGGACTTGATTTTGTTTAAAATTAAACCAAGCTTAAAATGAATGGGTTCGACGAGATTTAAGCAACACTACCTCCGTTCCAAAGATATTGACTTTGCAAATCGAATTGGGACAGGGAGAGTATTAAAATACACATATGTACACTTTACACCACTAGACCAACTTAAGTCTGAGAAAAATTAAATATATTGAAAACATCCTAAAGGACACAAGTATTTATATTTTCATGATATGTATACGAACCTGATAGGCTCCAACAAGGTGGACGGCAATGCATGCATTAGCCAAACCAAGAAGCCAATATGGCTCGTAGAAAGCGTGATCGTCAGTTAAGAGATTCCCCGGAACATCATTTCCGAACGCAACATAGCCGAGGATCCCACAGAGCGCATAGAAGGCAGAGGACACTATTATACCAACACAAGTTGCCTCTTTCATCACCTTATTCTCTCTTGGAGATGCTTTTAATGTATCTTGCATTCATGCAAATACTTAACCGGGTTTTCATTTTTCCCCACTTTAGAATGTAAGAAACACATTCAAACTTGCAATGTAACGGAAAATATAGTGTTGTTGTGCCTGTATTTCAATGAGAACAATGGAGAAGGCAAAGGAGATGGCAATGTTTCCAATGGCCGAGAAAGTGTTCCACATCTTATCCATAGCTGAGTTATGAGTTCCAATTGGCACACCTGTGAGGCTTATTCTCACTTTCAATCCACCTATACATCCACCTTGCTATTACGTTCTTATCTGTTGTCAATTTTCAATCACTAATAAAACAAATGCTTAAATATAATTAAAATAAAGAAATTGCTCAAAGTATGAGTAACACATGCAAAGTTCTGGAATATGACTATGTATATTTTATAATATTCCCAAAATAAATCATATATAGTCATGTTAAAGAAAAATTGCTAATATATAATAGGAGTGCATAATTTCTCTTTCCGGAATAAAACAATGATACTCTTATGATTTGGAAAAACTTCCTATATTTTACTTCTCACTAAAATATATGTATGCACATTGCTTCGAAGTATTACATAGTATTAAGTAACTAGACATATAATTAAGTTTTGAATGGATTTTAATGAAACTTAATATATGCTTAGAAATGTGTAATGTATTCAAACTACAAATATCTTTTTTATTTACGAAAGTTCATGTCTAAAGTCTTCCATGAAGAGCAAAGAAAAACATACAAACTCATATAGTGCGTGTAAAACATTATAATTTGTTCTTTATATATACTTCAATTCCTTGATGTCCCAAAATTATGTTCTTACATCTTTTCTGGGAATACCTAAATTGTAAAATACTCTTATTCTATAAGAATTATGTCATCAATCATTGACTTTCTTTATCGTACTTTTGATCGGATGACATACTTGAAAAGCCAATATAGAAAAACGTTTTACCTAAAAGGCTAAAACTCGTGAACACAAAATAGATTAACTATTTGTGATGAAAAAACTTATATATGATGAGGGCTTACCCGCAAGGCCTCAAAGGTTAATAAGTTAATTAACCTATTTTTGATGTTCTATTTCTCTAATTTCTTTCTTTATCTCAAAATGGAAATCATTCTTATTTTACAATATGTAATGGTGTTAGAGTATGTTTGCAATTTTTTTAAAGTGATTTTCAGCTTTTGGCTTAAAAGCTGAAAATAGTGTTTTCAAGTGCCAACTTTTGTTTAAATTAAACACTTAAAATCTAAAAGTTGGAATCTACTTTTTACGTTTTCTGTTACACAAACGCATATTGTAGTATTTGACAAAACACTATCAACTTTTACTTTTCAAAATCAATTTTTTCTCAAACACTACCAACTTTTTTATGAATCACCTTTTCCAAAATCACTTTAAAAGTGCTTATTTTAAAAGCAATTAAAAACATTTGCAAACACTTTCTTAATCCCTTGGTATTACTATAAATTTTGAAGTGTTAAATTCTTATAATTATAATAGATACATGGTTTTATATACTAATAGTATGCGGTAATGAGTATGGCAAAAAAGTATGAGAGAGAAGTATAAAATGCCGGGAGGAGAAAAAAAGCCATAATAAGTATGCAGGAAAGAGGGAAAATAAAAAAAAACTATGAAAGAGATTATGAAAAACATATGTAAGAGTAAAATAATTATAAAATAATTAAACATCATCCATAAAGTACTACACATTTCTTACTCAAGGACATGAGTATGATAAGAGTAATTTACTCTCCTTGGTCACATTTAACATATCTTACTTTCTTTTTTGGATTGTCCCAAAATAAGTGTCACATTCTTTTCTTATGAAAAGAAATATGTGGTCTATAACATTTCATTTTATTAGTACTTCATAATAGTAGTACTTTTTATGTATATACGTAGTTTTTCAAATATATAACACAACATTATATGTTTTGATTCTCAACGATAATAATCACAGTAATTAATACGAAGTAATATTCTTTGACGAGATTAATAATAATTAAAATAGTTGATGAAACCTACTGGCGATTGTAGCAGTAGCGAGAGCAACCCCAATGATTGAGTAAGTAAATGACATGAGTGAAGCGACGACCGAGATAAACGAAAGCTTTCGAATATTTGGTATTTGACTAAGGATTATCTGTAGCACTCCAAAATAAAATATGTAATTCCGGGTTGATGGACTGCAATCCGGCCAATTCCGCCCATTCTTGTGATAGCAAGTTGTTCTTTCAATTGCCCTAATTTATCAATAAACTCATTGTATCACATTGATGGTATGTGCCAATTCTACACCACTAGAATTCTGTACAACACAAATAATGTGAAATTTCAAAAATATGAGTGCAATGGTTTTTCACTAAAAATAGAGGAAATTTTGCTAAGTTGAAGTTGTACTAAAAATATGACATTATTTTTCAAGTATGTTATTAATTACTCAGTCTTTGAGAAAAATATAATACTCATATTTTGAAATTTGAAATTATTTTTATTCTTATTTAAGGCAATTTCTCTCATAAAAACTTCTCTCACATGTTTTTATATGTGAGTAAATTGTTACTCCCTCCATCTCAAAATCGATTCAATTTGATTTATTTGCCGAATGCTACTATAAGGAACATTATATATTTATAAACTTTTGTTTCATTTATCATACTAACTAATAAATTATAACTCCCTAATCTAATGAGTGCTATTTCTAATAATGTGTTTCTCATATGGACTATGTATTTATCTTAAAAATTGGTCTTGTTTTATGATTCATGTATATGCTTTTTTTTTTTTATGTAATCCAATTATCATTAAGAGTTAATATGATAATAATATTTTAGATTTTTTCATGCAAGTTCTATACACTATCAAAGGTTTACACTTTCAAAAAAAATTCAATCATTTTTTAATTACCACACCAAATTTGCCTAAAGGCAATAACAATTGTCATTGAAGGAAGAGTGAGTACGGATTTGGGGCCTCTTCTGATGCCAAGTCCAACTAGAGTGGCCATCCAAATTAGTCACTTGATCGAACTATGATAAAATATGTGTTGGTCTATTTGCTGCCAATATTTTGAGGCTCTGTCTTCTTTCATCAGACACCTCAGGTGCTCTGAGAACCTCTATCGTATGGTGGAGCCATGGAACATTTCATTCCAATTAAAACCCCATGACTCCTTTCCAATTGATAAATTCTACTCCGTGTGTAATTATGATCATCACCTAAATGCATTTTTAGTGAATAATCAACTTGATTAGAAGGTTCAAATTGTTGTTCGTTGTTGAATGTTGAACAACAATACACAATAACTAGAATACAACTCCAACAATTACCACCATTCGTGGATCGTCATCATGATATAATAACATCATCGTCAATCATCTTTATTTACCTTCACCAATCAAATCAATACTCTCACAAATTTTGCACTTCGAGGAGGACGAAGTGAGTCTCGCTCGCTCATCAATTCGAGGGTTGTCATTGTTATTACTTTAAGATCCTTTGTCATAGTGCTCGTACATAGGAGTAAAAACAATTTGAATTAATCTTAAAAATCAGAAACTAGTCTTCTAAAATTAGATTTAGAACATTCTAAGAACTCTCAACAAGGTTCTATACAACGAAACTAATCGTCTTTAAAACTTTGCTTTTTTCCTTTCACTTTGTAGAGACTTCTAAGAATTCTTAGCAAGGCTCCATATATTATTGCAGAAAGATTAGAAAAACTCTCATCATCTCATGAGCTTCTCAAATTTATTTTGGGTGCTTTACACGTTCATACGATGTTTTAGAAGAGTCCGCACTCCTAACAAAGTTAAAAATTTTCTAGTTTAAATATTTTACACTTGTTACATGCTTAGAGCTGATATTATTCTTAACGTGCTTCTAGAAAATGTTATATATGTTGTGTAAATGTCTATAGAATATTTTAAAATATTCGATACTTTTACATTTCCACTACACAAACCCAGTGAGTAGGATGATGAAGAGGAAGAGAAAATGGAGGAGGCCAGGAATAATAGAGGCAGCGGAGGAGATTGAGCCTCAATCTTCAATCTCTCTCCATGGTTCTTATTCTCAATATTTTAGGAGTCTTTATCAAGGAAGTACAAATTTTTTTTCTCCCAAAGACTTTCATTTTATGTATCTCTTTTGATTAATTGTTCTTACATTTATGTGATTTTGACTTTCAATGCAAGCGTAATAGTTTTTTGTTAATTGTTCTTATTGTTATGTGTTTTGACATGCCCATAATTGTATACAAATTTTTTTGATAACTCTTGTTTAAACAAGTATGGTTTATTTGTGTTTTTCATATGCATATGACACAAGTTTTATCATAGTGTAGATGTGAAATTAATATCACTATAAAAGGAGTGATTATATTAGACATAAATATGCCACTCTTTCATTACTTTCTAGGTGTACAACTTTTCCTGCCTTACACACACATTCTTCCATACTATTTGACTTCCCTCTAAACTCTTTGCCATCTTTTGTAATTTGAATATATTTTAAAAATAATTTTACAAATATATTTGTACCTAATTATATTTTGATTAATTGAAAGCATATGAAGTCTATAATAAATGCTCTCCAAAGGCTTACCCTAAGCTAAGAGCTGTAGTGATTGCATATCCGGTGCTAAGGCCAATTAGAGTAGCATACTGGGCAATCGCGCAAAACATGAAATTTGTGCCACCTGTAATAAGACTAAGTATGCTTTACAATGACAATATATATGATGACAAGTTATATAAGTTATTCGAAATCAATGTTGATCAATTTGGTATTTGTATTAGAAATATAAATAGAAAAAGTCATCTTCATGTATGGAAATTAAAACATGTATGGTAAATACAACATCACTCAATATATAATTATCACACATTATTTATCACAAAGATTAAAATGTGTCCGCGTTTATACGATTAGATGCAAAGACCTCTGTCACGGAAGTGTGTCTCCCACCATCAGTGTGACGAAACATTTTCATAGATGTCGCGTTCGCGCCAAACATTATCACAAATGAGTTGTGACAAATAACTAAACAGAGAGAGTGCAAATTTTATGATAGACGGCCATTCGTGAGAAAACATAATCACATAATTAAATTTCAAATTTCTATCACGAAGTGGATCCATGACATGCAAAGTTCAAAACCAATGAATGTCTTTTTTTTGTAGTGTTTTACATATATTAGTCATTTGGAGTTATTTTTTTTATTATTATCAATATTTCCACATAACTAAATTAATTGCATTTTCGCCTAAACACTACATTTATAATTTTTGTAGTCTTATATTTACCACATGACAAACAGTTACTTATATCATCAATTTTAAGTGCAAGCATAAATTAACATATAGATATAACACACATAATACCTAGATGGGTTCTAACGGCATCCATGTAAGAATGGTTTCGGGTACCGTCAGGTGAACGGTAACAATCAGTGAGCAGAATAGATGTATACAAGAGAGCTGATTCTCTCCCTCTCTCGAGGCTCTTCTACGAACATTCCCAAACAAATCAATCGATCTTCCATTGATTCTCTTCGCTAAGCTTGGATATTGGTTGGGTTTCATCCTAAATCTTTTGTGGTGTAACTCCTCAAATTTTCGAGCTCTGCTTTGGGGATTTTCGGACTGTTTCAGCTACAAACAGTCCCGCGAGTACTGTTTCACGTCGGCAGGTCAACGGCCATCTACCGCGCTTGTCCTCACCATTTTTCTTTTGGAAGGTCATCTTGGACTCCCCTAGGTTCTGATTCGTGCTTGGATTTGAACGTGGAAGACCTATTACAGCCAATTTCGACGCAAAGATGCGCAATTACTGTTCATAGTCTACGCAGGTACTGGGTTCGCAGGGCGTTAACTCTGTTTGAACTCAAATCTGTCCTTCGATTTGGGCTTGGAACGTGGAGAGATAGATGACGGCTGAAAAGCCATCTGCGTAAGTTTGAGGTGCTATTGTTACTGTTCTTTGCGCTGAGATATACCTCTTCCATGGCGAGAAAGAAGTTACAGGGTACTGGTGAGGCGTCCACAGCAAGGATTACTAGGTCCACCTTCTCTGTGTTGGAGGAATTGGACAATGAGTTCCCATCTCTGGCTGGAACTGCTGTGAAGGCAGGGGACGGGAAGACTGTCACAAATGCGGGAGCTGCGGCTACTCCTGGGAAGCCCGTTTCTGCTTCCAATGAACCTGGAAGTGCTGCTGAAACTGGGAAGGCCGGTTCTGCTTCCAAACAGCCTGGACTTGCTACTACACCAGGGGAGTTGGCTAGCTCAGGGACTGCTACTACTTGGTCCTCCCTTTTTAAGGACAATCGGGCACCCTTGAATGGCTTTAAATTGAGGTACATCCCGCCTAGTGGCACAACCATTGACTTTTCTGATAGAATTATGCCTAGTATGGTTGAAATGTGGGGTTTTTGTCTAGTCGGTTGTTTCACCGGAAAGTTTCCCGGTCTAAAAGCGATTTATGATTTGAAGAACACATGGGGTGTTAAGTGCATTATTAAGCCTCATGATAAGGGTTGGGTTATATTTAAATTTCAAAGTGAGGATGATAGGACAAAAGTGTTGAAAGAGGGACCTTACACCATTTTTGGGAAACTACTTATGTTAAAAGCACTATCGGATGATTTTTCCTTTGATGATGAAGAGTTTCTCAAAGTACCTATTTGGGTTAAATTCCCTAACTTACACTTGAAACTTTGGAATGAGGATGCTTTGAGTGAGATTGCATCCATGGTTGGTGTCCCATTGGCTACGGACAAAGTCACACATGATAGGTCTAATCACCACTTTGCTAGAGTGCTTATTGAAGTTGATATCTCGAAGCCACCGCCACTTTCATTTCCTATTCGGCTACCATCCCGGAAGGTAGTTAAACAATTTGTGGTGTACGAAACATTCCCAAATTTTTGCTTCCATTGTAAGATATATGGGCACCACCCGTTTATTTGCAATAAGCTAGCAAAAAAGGACGATGATACGGTGAAATCAAGTGAGAAAGGTGAAGATGAACAAATAAAAATTGGGGGAAAGGAAAACATACCTGCGGAAATTGTGGAAATTGTTGAACCCGCTGCCCAACCCAGTCTGGCAGAATCTGCCCAAGAGATTCACCCGACCGGGCCAGGCCCTAACCCGACTGATATGACTGTGCAGGGGCTTAACCCGACCGGGCCAGCCACAAACCCGACCGGGTTTAAACGGCAGTCTGATTCCCAGGTTGCCCAAAGGTCTCCAGAAGTTGTGAAAAGCTCTAATGAGCAATCTGTGGCGGCTTTGGAAGATATTGAGAGGGTAGTTACGGATGAGAATGATTTGCACCAACATGATGTCGTCATCAAATGTGAGATGGTTAACGGTAAGACACTCAAGTTGGTTGTCAAACCGTTTAGATTTGTGCGGGCTGGTGTGATTCGAGTGGATACTTCCCTTCGACTCACGCACGATTTGGGTAGAAAGGGCTTAACTTTCACCGCAAGATGTCTAGAGGGATTAGCGGGAGTTACAAAGAAGAAAGGGGAGTTTTGTTTTGATGCTAAATTCATTACTCCTTTCCGAGCTTTCTTTGGATGTTTAGATTAGGAACTTCTTTGATTTTAATTGGTCCAAATCTTGAAGACTATTTGTAACATTAATTTGTGAGGTGGGGTCTGTCCCATTATTTTGATGCATTATATCTAGGTTAGTTTATTCTAGCTTAGATAGTCATTTTGACTTGGATTTGATGCATTGTAAAATGCTATTTTTTCGATTTCTAATATACTTACATGTTATCGAAAAAAAAAATAGATGTATACAAAGTAATGATGGAGAAGATGATCAAAACTATCGGTCCGGCGATGGCTCCCAACTGCGCTACAGCCCATGCTAAAGACAGCACACCCGATCCTATTAGTGCCGTTATTATGTGTGCACTTGCCGTCACCACAGTTCCTACACATGCGTGAAAATTTTGTAAAATAGAAGTTGAATAATTTTCTCGATCTCTCAAATAAGACCACCACAACTTGTATTTATTCCTACTTGAGGGCTTAGCACATACATGTTTTACTCCTATTACAATATATACCTTGTATTTAAACTCAATTAGTATTAGATGCATGCATATGAATAAGAACAAGGGTGTGTAACTGTGTATACAAGTAGTCAAGTAGAGGATAATATTTGGTACATGCACGTAAGGTTAATATAACAGAGGTCAATCAATAACGAATAATACTCAATGTGGTACTGTGATTAATGCAAAGTTTTTATGAAGCCCTGTATGATCCCACTATGGAGTCATATTGTCTATGAGTTTCACAATAGCCATTTATTTTTATAGTGAAGGATCCCATTCAAAAAATGAGTGATTTGTGTGAAGCCACATATGACTCCATAGTGGAGTCATATAGAGCTTCATAAAATTTCCCGTGATTGATGTATTATGCTCCAACACATTGTACTTTCTCAAACCATTCAAACTTTGCACACTTCTCATGCTCGAAACTATAAAATATTATGATGTTTTTTCGTGCGTCACATTGATTCACAATTTATAATTTTTGAGGTTGACTGATAATAATTTATATCTTATACGCTAAAGTTCAGATTGACATTGATAGTTAAAATCTATACGTTTAGATAACTCATTGAAAGGTCCAATTGAATCACAAATCAAAACTCAAATTTAAAAATAATAATATATTGATATTCAAAATTAAAAAGCAAAAACAAAAAGTGTTTCTAAGAAAGTAAAAGTACAACACAATAGGAATTAGGAAGTATTAGTTTAGAAATAAATTTTATGGTTCATATAAATTCATTTTCAATTAATTTTACCTCAATGCATCACATAGTTTTACTATAATCTTAATAATTTTTTATCCTGGCAAAATCTTGTAGGGTCATCGTAAGAAGACAAAAAATATTTGTGAAAAGATTAATCTATACCCAAAATATTCTAAATCATATCTTAACTTTCAATAGATTAAAACCTTTTGGATTAAACAAGCGTACACAGAGACATGATATGATAGACTTTATTAAATACAAAGTATTAAGTATACCAGTTCTTTTGAGACGTCCATCATCATCAAAGATGGTATCTTCAGCACCCCCTTCTTGAATAACAACACTAGTCGTTCTCTCCATAATTACACTTAATCTATGTCATCTTATCCAAGCTCTTCCTCATCTTGATTGTATATATAAATATATATGAGTGTGCATGTATTAATGTATATATTTAGGACTGTATGCAAACATTTTGCATGAGAGTTTGGATTAAGTGAACAGTGCAATACAAAAAGCACAAACGTTAAAGTGAATAAAAAGGAGCAATAATCTACCAATAATAGAATCGTTGATCTTGATGATGTGATTGCATGCGTGTAAAGAGATGTATCAAATCAAATAACGGAAATACATACCTACATTAGCCACACACCACAAAATTAAATGCTTATAAAGATTAAAGCTATTAAATTACTTATATTAATTTTGGCTAGACCACAACATTTCCTAAATGCAAGGTGAAAGCGTTTTTTTTTTACTTACTTGAAAGCACATAAAACACATGGTTTTATTTGGAGATCGTAACTAACAAATTGAAATTATGATGCTTTTCTATGTTTCAAAATATTTTTCCTGAAACCGTGGACCTTAAAAGTTATCCTCTCTTGTAAAAATGGGAAGTTATCAATGGCTGTTTTTTATTGACGTAACATCACATTGTAAATAATGAGTTTTTGTTTCTAGGGAAACATTATTCTCTCAATTGTTTATTTACGTAAAATGTTTGCTCAGAAAACTCTAAAAACTATTCATCATCTTTGAATTCTTAAAAACCTCATCGCAAAGGTTCAAGGATGCCCTATCTAATTATCATGTTCTGTCTTAGAGAGCAGTATGTGTTTTAGCAGACTACTCATAATGTCTCTATGGTATTATTCTTATGATCGTGTGAACTACCACTGGTTGCCACTTCATATCAAAAATAAAATTTTGACGACGAAGTATCCTAGTTAATGAAATATTAAACACTATGGCAGAAATTCGGTTTAAGATAATGTGGTACTCGACATTACTCGACATTACTTTCAAATGAGATGATTAAATCTATTTAAGAAAATATCTAAAATATGAATGACCCAATGGTCAGAACTTTTTATGAGGTTGACCACAACCCAGAGGTGAAAAAAACATTCTTGAGCTTTTCACCCAAAAATAGCTACAACCCAAGATATATTGAGGTGCCAAAGTGGATTGGAGCACCTCTTGAGGTGAGAATCTATGACCTTATTCATGGAAGAGAGAAGCTAGTTGGCAAGGAGAATGACACCAGGCTGGTGTTCTAGAGTGTTCTACTCCCTATCTTTTTTTTATTATTACTCCATTGTTAGTAAAGATTATATAAAAAATTTATGTTTTTATAATCCTTCATACAGAGTATGAGTTTTGAAAAAAAATAATAATCCTTCATATGAGATCAATACTGCATATATAAAGCTTAAAAATATGAAGTTTCAACTGCACGAGGTGTTAGACCCGTTCTTTTTAAATAGATTCAAATAACAAAATTAAGGTTCCATTGTTATTTTTTTTATATCTTTCAACTATTTTTTTTAAAAGGTTTGAAGTAAAAAAAAAATTAACTCCAAATTTATTTATGACTTTTCACACCATAACTATTCTCAACAAATTGAAAAGTTTTGATGTATAATCATAAAAGTAATACTTCAATTAATTTTTTGGCTGAGTGCACATACTGATGGCGCTGGATTGCTGCAAAAAACTAAATTGACTGAATGAATGTATGTATAAATTGGTGAAAATCTTGATTTATCAATGGAATTGAATTGCAAATAACTCTAGTGAGTTAAATACGGTACGAGAATTAAACAAGGTTTAATACATACACATTTTATTTGGTAACATGAACGAAATAAACGGTCAAACATTCGTTCAAAAAAACGTTGGCTTTTAAAAAAACATGTAATATGTATATGTGTATAATACGTTATGTGTTACAAAAATTCGGACAAAAATACGGGGTATTATTTTGAACATTTAAATCATATACTTTACAAAATAACATATATGGTAAAAAGAAATAAAAATATAAACATATTCAAGCAACAAATCTCATTACTACAAAAAAGAATAATTCGTAATTGTACAAGTCGATGACAAAAATAAAAATAGTAATTTAGTCTAAGACATAATTTTGCAAAATAATGTCAAAAAATATATGGCCTAATAACAATAGAATGAGACTAAATTTATTATAAGAAAGGTTAACACTAAAGTTAAACTCATTGTTTTCATCAAGATGACATATGACATATGAGAAAAGTTGCGCGACTGTTACACTTATTATCGTTTATGTGTAAAAGTTTATATTTAAAAATGTCAGGTTTAGAAAAAAACCTTAATTTTGATATGCTTCTTTGGAAAAACATCATAAATCTAATAATCTTTTTACTTTTAGTCTTTTAGGATGTTTTTCTTTAGCCGCCAAGTAATTAATTTTAGTATTTTATAATTTTATTGTAACAATACAATAAAACCCCGGATCACTGGGAGGACGTTTTCATTTTTACTTTTAAACTATTGTTGATTTCCTATGCATTTAATGCGTTCATTCAATTGGTCAATTCCTGTTTTTGTTTATTGTAAAAAACGGGAAAAGTACGTTTTATACGAAAAATATGAGTTTTTTTCCTTTTTAATCAGATTGACATTATTTTTATTTTAAACGTGAGTTTTTTGTCAAAAAAGCGGTACGTGTTTAAAACACATTTAAAATGAAAGAAAGCTTACTAGGCAATTAACTAATGCACCAGAAATCCCAAACATGCAGTGAAAAAGCACTGTCAAGCCCAATCTCCATTCATATCCACCTTATTCCAGAAAAAACCGCCAAAAGCCCATACACTGACTTGCCACAACCAGCCCATAGTCATCTATGCCAGCTTCTTCCTTGCGATGACCCCCACGCCAATTCCATCTCTCCCCTGCCTGAAACTTGGCACTTACTCTGATCCCAGAGTGTCCGAAGCCTTTGACCTCGTTTCCGCCAGAGATATCTCTCCAGGTTTGCCTCCCGCTGCTTCATATTATTATATTAATACTGAGAAGAAACATAGAACGCAACCAAAAAAATTAATTGATTACAGTAGTAGAACTTGATGTGTAAAAGAATTGATTTTTGGTGAGTAATGAATAAAGGAAGGATCTTCTTGTATAGTCTAGCAGTGGCAAATTGGCAATGCTGTAGTTGTATTTGATTATGATTTTATCACTTAGATATTTAATATATTAGCAGTTACGCTCTGATTATATTTGAAGAAGTCTGATAAGTGAATAACCCATAAAAACCGATAACCTAGACACTAGAATATACTGATAAAAGCGGAAGAGCAGGTGCTGCAGCTCGTCTTCAACCCTGCGAGTTGCCACACAGCCGAAGTAGTGACTAGCTATGCTTCCAGTGTAGTGATTGTCCTTCGAATTTCGAGTTTCAGAGTCGACTGGGTTCCTTTATTTTGGGCTGGGCTTCTAAAACGAAATTACTGAGTTTAAACACTCCCTGGAGCTACGCCTGGACTACACCAGAGGCGCCTGATCTTCCTCAGGCGAGTCGATCTCCCGTGTCGATCCTTCTCCATGGATGCCTAGGCAACGCCCTAACAACCTTGACAAGTATGCATTTCATTATACTTTCTTATTTTTTATCTGCGGGCTATAAACTTTTAATTTACTCAATCTGTAGGTAATATGGCCACCTCTAATAATATGATTGACTAATATGATCTTTTTTGTGGATTTTAACATGATGGCCCTTTCCTTGAACTAATCCAGCTATGTTTATCAGTTCCTTTCTGGCTTTTGTTAGTTGACTGCCATGGCTAGCAATTCTCAGTTCACTAGTATGCAGGTAATCCTACCAAAAAGTCATTGTGTTCCTGATTTTTTTATCAGAATCCTTCTATATTTTACACAGTAATAGTTATTTCGTAGTTGATTTTATACAGATTATAAAGTAAAGATTATTCTCATTATTGTCTTATTGATTAATTCATTATATTGGATACTTAGAGTTTTGTGGAAAATTAGCTCCTGGGAGGATAATTGAAGAATTTGTTGCTCGTATTTGTAATTTTATTTTACTTTATTTATTTTATTTATGATAGTCTGTTTTTATCTCCTTAGTTCAATAGCATAACTTTGTTAATCACTTTGTGGCATTAAATGAGTACCTGGCATTATCCTATACTAAAGTTTCCCTTTCAGCTGTTGAGTTTGCATTAATTATAAGAGACAATGCTATACTTAATTTTCTTCAGTGATTTATTTATCAATCAATTGTAACTTGTAAGAAGTGCAATTTAATTAATTGTATTTGGTAATTAGTATAATTGCTTGGAATTTAATATTATTGAGCACTTTGTTCTTTTTATCACATAGAGATTCTTTTCACAGCAACATCGGGGCCGGAATCAAAAGTGGTTGAGGCATTTGTTTACTCATTTTTATCATCATCGATCAGAACCAACTCATTTTTTAATTACGTATGGGTTTTTTACCTATCCCCACTCCACATTCGTACCCCACTATTATTTTCTACAGTCACCAACATCAATTGTAGTAATGAATCATATTCTAATTTACGGCAGCGCATAGAACTCACTTTACAAATATCCTTTTAAATTGCTAAGCTTTTCATTCCAACTCTGGGTCCAAACTTCCAATTGTCATGCTTGAACTAGGATCTTAACTTAGGGACTATTTTCTTGTAATTTCTGTTGAGGAGTAACGAGCTGTTAGAAAATTACCTATCTTCATCAATCCAGGACTTGCAAGATGAAAATGTTTGATACAGGGCCCGAGTGATTGCAAACTATCAATCAATGACCTAATATATCATAGCTTTCTATTTCTTTCATTTTTGTTTATTATATTTCTAAGTTTTGATGATTTTTCCTCCGCAGAAGTTTATTTTTTTAATAAAGTTAAAAGACTTAAAGTATTTATAATGAATAAATTAAAATTCATGATATTTTAAGTCTTAGATTGATAATTTTCAATCATTCGAGCCCTATAGCGTTAATTTTTATCTTTCAAGTCCCGGATGGATAAAATTCCTTTTTTATTCCCGTAGAACTTTCAACTTCTTAATTGTCTGACTTGTCAGATGGCCTCAAATAATGCTACAAAGTAATACCCTGTAGTATTACTATTTACTATCCACAGTTAAATAACTCTAACTCTGGATATCTGCTTCTATCCCAGGGAGCCATTTATATATAGTCATGTTAGTATCTGCCCATTTGTTAGCTGCTTTTGATTTACTGTTTACCCACTTACCAATTATTAGTTATTTATTTACTTATACTCTTATTTTGTTGACATTGGGAAAGCCACCTCGACCTCCACTAGCTAGTCTTCCTCAAAGTGCTCATACACCTATGCCAATGCCGGTATATTCTCTTTTTCTTGATGTACCTGAATCTTTGACATCCTATGTTTTTTTAAAGTTTTAGTTGAAGATTTTTATTATAATTTTCTAATCTTTGTACCAGCTACAGTTCCGACCACCCATGGTTCCACCACAGCCATTCATTCCTGGCCCTTCTCAACAATTTCAGCCTCTAGGGCATACAAGTGTTATGATGCCTCCTCCTCCACAAAACCAGTTTCCTCAACTGATGCAGCAGATACCTGTTAGACCTGTTGCAGGAGTGCACATTGTTCCTTCAGCACAGGTTACTCCACCACCAGACTTTGCAAACAGGCCCGTCACTCCTGTTGCCGCACCACCTCAACAGAGCTTTCAGATATCAAATAACTATGTTCCCTGTCCTAGCGGCTCAAGTTTTCCAGCTTCATCTTCTTACAAGGTAGGAAAAATGAGCTTCCATCATTAATTCTAAAAACTCAAAAGTTATATTCAAGTGACTGCCTTTTTGTATCCAATTCACTTTGTAACATATTGTTTTTTATTGTTTATGTTTTATATTGCTTCCATCAACTACCTGTTTGAAAGAAACATATGATACACGGATTAGATTCCATAAGAAATGAAATAGAAAAATAGTAGAATATATATAATATTCTATTGTTATGTGCCGAAAGCATAATGAGGCCGAGCCAAGCAAGTGAAGTAATGAGTAGTGATATGACCCAATTACCATGACACAAACACATACATTAAATAGTACTCCTTCCTTCGTCCTCACTTCAAACAAAATTTGTCACTCCAAAAAATGCCTAAAAAGGTGTGCCAACTGCCAAAATCCTATGCGAATTCCTTATATTGGGACAGAGAGTATGTAGTACATATAATCTCTAGCGGTATGTACATAGATACAAACAACCAATTAAAACAAATGATAATGTAGAATAAGATTTTAAAAATGTAGATTATGCCATCATTTAAATATTGTCTATACCTTAGAAGGGCAAATAGCTAATAATAGGGGAGTCCAGAGTAGCCATTCTTTCTTCAAAGGGAATGAGTCATTATATACACAGATACGCACAACTAATTTAAAAATGGTAATATTGATCGAAATCTCGACAGAATTTCGGTAATCGCTAGCTTCCGATACCGAAGCACGTGATCATTAATTTTGGCATGAAAATCATCAAATATTTCAAAAGCTTTGGTAAAAAAAATTCCTTTTTTACCGTTACCGTCAGTTTCATGCCTAATTTTGATTGAACACAATAACTATCAACCAGACTTTTGTTGGAATTAAACAAATTGCTCTAGTGGCTTATTGGCTAGTCTCACAGTTTGTCAGACTTGAGCCACACACGTTTAGCATCTGGATAGCATAAACTCCATTGCTTTTAATTTTCCGAGTATCCCTTATAAAACTTTAATTTATTTGGCATAAAAAATTAAATATAAAAAATTTGTGGTTGATAACTTGATATATTCAAAAGAGAAAGAAATAATACACATGGCATATTAGTGTCCTTAAAGAAAATAGATGAAATTTATATTTTTATCAAAAAGGAAAGTGGAAATTACTCCCTCTGGTCCCAAATAAACTTCACACTTTGACTTTATGGTTTTTGAGAAATTGGAATTTTCTCTTTTGACTTTCCCATCATACCCCTGCAAAAAGTAGATTAGGTGTAGTGGGAGAGAGAAAGTGGGTGTAAAGTTGGTAATAAAGTAAGGGTATAAGGGTAACTTTATATTAAAAACTTCCAAAAGTAGAAGTGTGAACTTTATTTTGGACCTGCCCAAAAACGATAGTGTGAAGTTTATTTGGGACCGGAGGTAGTATTTAGGAAGAAAATGGACCAAGTGGATGCATCCTTACTATCTCATTCATGGTTACGCCGCAAGAAGTAGAGCAAAAATCATTATCATTTGAATTATTATTTCAAATTATTTTAGCGTGCTAAGTTATTGCTAATATTGCATGTGGGTAATATTGACAATCTAGAACCACATGAGAATCATTTCGATACTAGTATTTACATATTTTGGAAACCTGAAATATGCAAGTAATGACACGAACTACTACATAGACTTATGACTAATGGTTTTTGAATTTAAATATGTGTAGTGAAGTTTGTTAAAATATTCTACAAATTCTCATGCTAAATCTTCAAAACTTAAATATAATCTCCATCTCTTTCTAATCTTTCTTTCTTTCTTTCTTTCTTTCTTTCTTTCTTTTCCCAGAGTGTTATCTCTCTCTCTCTCTCTCTCTCTCTCTCTCTCTCTCTCTCTCTCTCTCCCTCTTGGCATATATATTGAGCAGCTTCTTTCAATTAATTCTTATTAAATTTGAATGTATTTCCATATTATTTTCCTGGCATTAATTTGGATATTTTTCTGGATTCATATTTCCTAAAAATCTCTTGCATGTACTTTTCCATTTAAGGAACTCAGTTTATTGTTTATACTTCATATCAATCAATAACGAAACATTCCTCATTTTTGTCCCCCCTTGCTTTACTAGCAGGATTCAGAGTCTTCTGCAACTCTACACCAGTCCCAAACAAGCGAATCTGGTTTTTCCGCCGGAGGGCAGCCATGGGTGTTGTCTGGGAACCCTAACATCAAATCCACAAACACGCCCTTGCAGCTGACGAGTGAATTTGTGCCAAAAGCGGGAGAAGAATGTAATGCTGCTATTTCGGTGAGTGCTTTCTTAAATAAGTAAATTATAATTTGTATTAATTTCATGCTACTGACCCTAATATAATTTGTCTCAAGGCATTGTTGAAGATGAAGTATATTGTGTGTGTGTAAGATAGAGCCCACACTCACAGATATACACACATATATAGCCTAGCACTCTTCCTGCGCCATAATTTTTTATTTCTCAATCTGAAATTCTTCAATCTTGTTTTACATCTCAGGAAGCAAATCCTACGCTTGGATCAGCTGATAAGATTCCATCAGATTGGATAGAGCATACTGCCCGCACTGGCAAAAAGTACACATTTATAATCACTTCACCATTTTAGTGGGAAAGAAGTAACGATAAGATTTTAGTTGCAAATAATCATTAGCTTTTCTTTCTAAAATGAGATGTCAATTTAATGGAACCAAAAAGTTGCAGTAGTTATCTTTCAATAAAACGTATGACTAAGATATGTAATAATTCATTGAAATTACCGACTTTTGTAAAATGTTACTGAAGTCTATGAGACTGTGATTTATACAGATATTATTACAACATGAGGACAAAGATATCTAGCTGGGAGAAACCTGTTGAGTTGATGACTGAAATCGAGGCATGCCATTTCTTTCTTTTTTATCTCTCATGGATGTGTGAGCTATTATTGGGCTGGGTGTGGATTTGGGAAAAGCACCGATTTCAGAATTATTATTGGTTATAATTTATCATTCTTGCCTGCTGCTTCCTGTTAGTGCAGCAACAATCTTTCTACCATTAAAGAAAAAAGAAAAAAATATAAGCCTCTTTGAATTCTATGTTTACATAACAGCAAACTGTCTGATGAGAGGTGTAGGTTTGATTTCTTCACTTTGAGGAGTTGGTTTATTTTCACCTTCATTTTTTTTGGTACTAGGCGATGGACATTTTGCTTTAAAAAAATGATTTTAAAGTGATTTTGGAGAAGGTGCTAAATAGTAAAAGTTGTTGGTGTTTTAGAATAGGAGTGATTAAAGTTTAAAAGGTTATAGGCGGAGTATTTGGTATAAAAGTGAATTTTTAATTTAATATTTTGTACAAACATACCCTTATAGATATTTAATAAATACATATATGCCCTTGATCGACAGCTTTGCTGCTACTTACAATATATATATGTGCGTGTGTTTGTATGCTCCGTATATAGGAAGGATGTGCTGATGAAACACAACACAGACGGCGTAGTTTGGCCCTGCTATATATATGTATATATAGCATATTAGTATATATATAGATTTAGGATTAAGTAAGAAAGGCATCTTAGGAAAGAAATGAGAATGAATATGGACCGTTGGATCTGTGAGTTGTGCATTATTTGAAACCAAAATGTGCATGACCATGGATGAAAAAACGAGATGACGTTTTTGCAAATAAAGTGATCTTTTTCTGCTGTCGCGAAATGTGCATTATCTCAATCAGAAATGTGCAACTCAATGAACCAGAATGCGCACCATTCTCATTTCTCACCGGAACCGGACCCTATACACACACACACACATATATAGGTTAAAATCTTGACGCAGTAGCTCATCATTACCCCAATGTTGAAAAGGCTCCCACGGTCCCTCCTACGGTGGGGGTAAGGGGAGGTCGGATGTACGCAGCCTTACCCTTGTACTTAACTACAGAGAGACTTTTTCCGGATGACCCATAGTGATAGACATGTCGAAACCTCGACGCAGTAGCTAGTAGGCAAAAAATTCTTTTTCCTCTTTTTTGTTTCCCATCAAAACCGATTGAAGTGGGTCGCTCCAGCCTCTTAATCCCATACCATGGAACAAGAGGCATCTAGCTCCAGTCGCTGCCGGAGAGACTGACGGAGAAGAGGAGCGTGGAGTGAATACTGAAGCAGCTCCAATGGACCCGTAGATGTATTAGCAAGGGTAATTTGGGATTTGTACAATAGAGTTAGGAATGTGATTATCCTCAAAGATGGACTTATTTACAAATGATGTAAAAGCATTTAAAAGCACCTCTTATGCTGCATTTAGCTTTTATCTTAAAAATCGCTTTTAGTTTAGTTGAATTTTGTGTATAACAAAGTAACAAACACTAGTTTTTGCTTTTTCAAAGCTAAAAGAAGAAAAATGCTTTTAAAAAGCATTTGCAAACATAGCCTATATCATTCAGGTTCTATTTTTTTTCTCTTGCTTCCTTGCACTTACTCCCTTTCATCGCTGCTCTGGACATGAGTGCTGATATTGTTCATCAGCATGCATATATCTGATGTCTCTTTGTACTCTTGCAGCTTACCTCATAGTGTGTTTTAATTTATTGCAGAAGGCTGATGCTTCCACTGACTGGAGAGAATGCACTAGTCCTGATGGAAGAAAGTAAAATGTTTTTTGTCTTTATCCCTGTTTAAAAAAACCTGTCCTTTGAACTACTTTTAATGTATTATATATCCTTATAAATGTATCAACTTGGATATTGTGGTAGGTATTATTACAACAAGGTTACTAAGGTGTCAAAGTGGGCAATGCCTGATGAAGTCAAGGTATTTTGATCAGATAAAACCTACTTCCTTTCTTCTCACTTTGACCTGGCATATTTATTAAGAAAGTGAAATTGGGTGGTTGAAATGTACTTAGAAAAGGAGAAGCAACATCAGTAAGATAATGCCTCTCTTTAAAGGAAATGGGAATAAAATTTGGGACAGCCAAGGAAGGAAAATGGGACGAAAGATTTAGTAAAGAGACTAATATTTGATTCACCAGTAGTATTTGCAGAAGAGCTGACAATCTTCTCTCTTTTCAGTTGGCACGTGAGAAGCTTAATCTGGAGACAATCAAGGCATTAGAACAAGAAAAGAGTGGTGTCTCTCACACTCTTGATGCAACATCGTCTACTAGTGCGAAAGCATATTCTCCAAGTGCAGTGTGTTTATCGGCCTTACCTCAAGGGACAGGGGCAAGCCCAATATCAGCGGCACCAGCTGTCACTTCAGAAATGTTAGGCCGATCTGATAATGCATCTAACACTCCAGCTGAGTCTGTTGTCTTGCAAACTCCTTCCAAAGCTGCCTCACCAGCTGTTGCCGCTAAGTCAGATGGGCATGGAGTGTCGGCCACAACCGCAGACTCTGTCGCAATTCAGATGTATTCACATTTTTTTACTTTATACGTATTAGAGTAAGTTTTGCAACCAACAGGAATTTGTTTTAACCGTTTCTGCAAGTCTTTGCAGGACTCCTGGAATTTCACCGGTTCATGATGCTGCAGCTGATACAAATGGAGGTTCTCCAGGAAAGATACAGGTTCATTACAATCTTATATACTGGACACATCATGGGATACCTTTAAATCCAAGCAGCAGTGTTATGGCTTGTTTTGTTTCACTTTCACATGTTTTAGGACGCTGAAAAAGGTGCTGGAGTTTCTGAAAAGGGAAGTGCTGTTTTGTCAGATGAGAAAATGACTGAGCCATTACCTTCAGCTTACGCGGGCAAACAGGTTGGTTCTTTTCATTCATTTTCTTATTGGGCCCATTTTTCTTAACCAGCAAGATACTAAGTAACATCAGCTCTTCTTGTCTAATTTTAGTTTTACGTTAATTTTTCAATTCATGTTTGATTATTTAAGGACGCAAAGAATGCATTTAAAGCACTTCTTGATTCTGCTGGTGTTGGACCTGACTGGAATTGGGATCAGGTTATTTTCATTTGTAGCTAAATCTTGTTGATCTATCTCCTATTAGCTTTACTAACACGTGCATTAAAATGGATAGGCCATGAGAGCAATAATTAATGATAGAAGATATGGGGCTCTAAAAACACTTTCTGAGCGAAAGCAGGTTTTTAACGAGGTAAATTTTCTTGTGAAAGCATTATCTGTTGATATAGTTTCTTATGAATATTTTTTACTACCGTCTCTAGTTGGCTAAATGACATTGAATTTTATGTTCTACACATCTTCCTTAGTACGTGGGACAAAAGAAAAAACTTGAAGCAGAGGAGAGGCGTGCCAGACAGAAGAAAAGTAGAGAAGATTTCAAAACAATGTTAGAGGTTAGAATGCACATTCACAATTTCATATAGGTGTTTCGGTTTTCATCTAAACATGCGTAAACATTATATTTTAAATTTATAACTGCTGTTCGATCTTCAAATTGCCACAGGAGTGCCAAGAGATTACATCTTCCATCCGATGGAGGTCTGCCTTTCTATCTATTTATACTGCATATTTGGGTTGTTCAATGTTTTTATAATTCTTAGATGATAAAAATTTAGCGTTGTCTTACTTCAGTGATCTTAAATAGCAGTGTAATGACTAATTTGCTAAATATGTCTGCCATTCATATTTGTTAATCCCCCAAATAACAACAATAACAATAATAATTCTAATTATTATTATTATTATTATTATTATTATTATTATTATTATTATAAAATAGTACTACCTCCGTCTTTTGGGAATAAGACCTACTAACATTGGGACATGAGGAGGTGGTGCAGTTATTAAGAAGAGTAGTACTAACATTGGGACATGAGGAGGTGGTGCGGTTATTAAGAAGAGTAGGTTTATGTGGTTTATATTGAATTGATAAAGTAAGAAAGATTTAGAACCACACAAATTTTACAAATTTGGTATGAGACAATATTATTGGGACGGACCAAAAAGGAAAGGTGGGACAATCTTACCGGGATGGAGGGAGTAATTATTATTACAATTATAGTTTAATAATAATTATTATAAGATTTATAACAATAATTATTATTATAACTATATTACTAATAATTATTGTTATAAAATAATATAGAACTTGCTCAATATAGGATCAAAACATACATAAAATGCAAAAATGGGATTAAGTATATTTTATTCCCCGAAGTATTGATTAAAACTTCCCAAAATAGGAGTGATAAGAGTAAAACAATGACAGTCCTATTTATGAACTTTATCCTTGTTTAAGTCATATTTAGGGAATTTTCTCAAAATAATATAAGACCTCCTCCGTTTACCCTTTAGTTGCTCCACTATCCTTTTATAAAAAAAATTATTACTTGCCCCAGTTTCCATTTTTGAAAGCTATTATCATACTCTTTCCGTCCCGAAAAGGTTTGCCAAATTTCCTTTTTTGGATGTCCCAAAAAGATTTGCCAATTTCCATTTAAAGCAAGGAATATGTGGCTAAAGTCAATTCTCTCTCCTCTGCACAAAATTCAACTACACAGTTTTTACTTTATTAATCCACGTGAAAGTCAAAGTTGGTGAACCTTTTCGGGACGGAGGGAGTATTAAATATCTTGACTTTTTCAATCTTCTCATTCCTTTTTCTACTTCATCTACTCTCATTTTTTACTCTTTGTACTTTATAAACTATTCACTATTCACTATCCCTACAATTTTATTCTTTCTGTGAAAACCCTATCGGTGCAACTAAATGTGAACATAGTAAGTAGCTTTTAGATGGTCAAGATAATGTTCTTTTCATCACTTCTATGCCTTGTTGGTTCTGCAGTAGAGCAATATCTATCCTTGAAAATGATGAGCGCTATCAAGCTGTTGAACGGTCAAAGGACCGTGAGGACCTTTTTCAAGATTACATACAAGAACTTGAGAAAAAGGTGAACTTCTTATCACTGGGAAAGGGAACTAATGTTTGTGTTAAAGTAGATTATTTAGTCCTCTTAGTGGAAATCCTACTCAATTGGTGTCAATAAACTGACAGTGACACACTACTCTAAATGTATCTACTTGGGACTTGCTTTTCTTTATTAGTTATATCAATAGTTTAAGATCTGCAGAGAGGTTTCTTTAATGCTTGTAAGTTGGAAATGTTTTGCTAATTTATGTTTACTTGTGGTAGTAAAGTGATGTTTTCTCTTATTTCGCTCTTATTGATTCTTGATCAGGAAAGAGCAAAGGCATTGGAGGAGAACAAGCGGTATAGAATGGAGTACTTGGAATTTTTGAAATCTTGCGACTTCATTAAGGTACTATGTCAATCAAATGTAGTGTTCTTTTAAGGTATATTTTTTGTTTGTAAAGAATAATACTGAAAACAGCCCCTACCTTGTCCCTCTAGGCAAGCAGCCAATGGCGGAGGGTTCAAGACCGCTTAGAGGATGACGAAAGGTGCTCACGCCTGGAGAAGATTGACCGTTTGGAAATTTTTCAGGTAACCCGAAGTTGCATTCTGTGGAGCCAGTTTCCATACAAGATTTGTATTACATAAATTAAAGTATTTTTTTAACTAATGTTGGCAAATGTAATAGGAGTATATTCGTGACTTAGAAAGGGAAGAAGAGGAGCAAAGAAGGCTGCGTATGGTAAATAATAAGAGGCTCCTTGAATTGAGAACTTTACTTATTGTTTCATCCCTACCATTTTCTGCCTTCTCTGTATCTTACACACACTGAACAGGAGGAGTTGAGGAAAACAGAACGTAAAAACCGTGATGAATTCCGCAAGCTTATGGAAGAGCATGTTTCTGAAGGTGTTCTCACAGCCAGAACTCACTGGCGCGACTATTGCATGAAGGTTGGTTATTTCATGATGCAGTGAGTCAATTAATAACCTACTATATTTTCTGAACTTTTTCCATGCCTAGGTTAAAGATTCACCTGCATTTTTAGCTGTTTCATCCAACACATCGGGTTCGACAGCAAAAGATTTGTATGAAGATGTTGTAGAGGAGCTGGAAAAACAGGTGAATTTATATGAAACTGATCAGTCTAAATGCCATGCAATTAGTGCTACACTCTAGGAATAGCTGCCTATAAATGGCATCATATACCTTACTTGTGGGTTGTTTAAAAAGTAGGGATCTTGGTAAGAAGTTGATGCCAATGAAGTACATGGATTTATTTATCTCTTTGTTTTAATAGTGATTCAAAATCACCACCGGTTTGTTATACTAATGAGTAATGACCGAATAGGTTCATGAGACAGGGATTGTGGTCCCTTATCAGCCTATTTGCATTGCAAGTCACCATTGATTTTCCATTTTACTTTAGACACCATGATCCCTCTCTATGCATTTATGTGTAGTAATTGTGTGCTTTCTGCAGTTTGTTGAAGATAAGGCTCGTATAAGAGATGCAGTTAAAGTGCATGAGGTAATTTTCTTTTTTAGGTTTGTCATGCTGTGCTTTTTGACATGCTCAAAAGTATTCAGGTTGTAATTTGCCACTTCATGCTAAGTAAGTTGTACATGTATTCAGGTTGTAATTTGCTACTTCATGCTAAGTAAGTTGTACATGTATTCAGGTTGGTCTGACAACAAGTTGGACATTTGAAGACTTCAAGGCTGCCCTTTCAGAAGATATTATTTCACCGCCCATATCGGATACTAATTTGAAGGTGTACTTTTCTCCTCTGGATTTCTCTTTGTTCTCAATCATCTGATGAACTATCATTAAACTGACGTTTCACTTCCCACATGATTACAAAACCAAGTCATTGAAAGATGACTAGATTAGAGGTGGGGTCTGTTCTGCAGTTATTTGACTTTTTTGCTGGTTCTATCATATACCCCCTCTGTCTTTAAATTCTCATCTTCCTTTATGTCCGTGTCCAAAAGTACTTCCCCTTTCCATTCCTAGTACAATTTCACCACTAACTTTTCTTCCTCATCTACCTTTCACTGTTTTCTTACCTTTTCCACTTGGGGAGGCTCACATTGCTAAAAAATTGTCCAAAACCTGAAGTGGAAAACAAATGGAAAGAGAGCTAGTATTATCATTTAGGTGGTTAAATGAAAAGGAGGATATAGATGGTTGTCAAGGTGCTACACTGCTACTTGTGAAAGTTTTTTAAAACAGAAACGTATCCTATTATTCTTAAATTCTACCTATCAAATAATTGTAATGATTCTATGGTGCTTTCTATCTCAGATTCTTTCATTGTGCTTCTGTTCTGTTTTGATTATTCACTTATTCCATTTCTTAATCTGATGTTCATGCTTTGTCAAAAGTTTGTTTTTGAAGAGTTGGTGGAAAGGGCCAGAGAAAAAGAAGAAAAAGAAGCTAAAAGACGTAAACGTCTTGCAGATGATTTCTACGAGCTTTTATGTGATTCTAAGGTGCTTTAGCAGTGTTACATGCTTACATCATTACTTTTAATGTTCTTAACATGATTTTAGTGGTTGATCTAATAATGTTATTGTCTATATTAGGAAATTACTGCATCTTCAAGATGGGAGGACTGCAAACCTTTACTTGATGACAGGCAAGACAGCTAATTTGGCGTTTATAATATGGGGGAATTTGACTTTGCATCCCACTTTTTGGTTGATATTGGACTTTGCACCCCATTTTCAAAAAACTTTGACTTTGCACCCCATTCCACTTACGGCCTGTTTGGATTAGGTGTTAGGAGGTGTTAGTAATGGAAGTGTTAAGGAGTGTTTAGTTTAACACTTGTTTGGGAGAAAATTTAAATTTGTTTAGAGGTGTTAATAAGTGTTTGAGGGTGTTAAACAAAACCTCCCTAACACCTATATCTATCACTTTTTTAACACCCCAATTTGGAGTGTAATGAAGTGTTGGACAACATTTGCCCCTTTTATTTCAAAATCTGCGTATTACCGACGTTCCCTGTAACTTCTTCCGCAGCCAAAACGTTCTTCTTCTTCCGCAGGCCAAAGACCGTTCTTCTTCTTCTTCACCTATTGCAGCTATTCTTCGATTTATTCCCTGATTCTCCTCCTAGGTTTGTGTTTGTGTAATTAAATACTCCGTAATATAATAGCAGCCTATAGTATACTTCGTAAATACATAGAACTATAGCAGGCGGTAAATGATGGGTGTTAGAATTATATTGTATATATACTTCCTCTGTTCGGATTTAAATGCAACACTCCCTCTGGCGCAGGAATTAAGAAACTTTAGTAAAGTGTTGTTTCTTCCCACTTTACCCTTAATGACACATGGCTATTATTACAGCGAGAGAAACAATGAACTGTCAGGCTACTCTAGCTACGGCCTACGGGTGTTCCTTCTTCTTTAATCTCTTCCGGCCAAATGCCCAAATCAGTTAAAAGTGTACAGACGTACAGTGACTTAAATTTGTTGTTCTTTTAGTCCGATCCTGAAAGGAAGTTGCTGCCAAAAACAATTTCGTATCTTTGTTGTTGACGGTTTGTCTCCATATATTGCTTAAAAAGACAATGAAAAACATTCTGATAAAAGAAAAAAGATGAGTGGAAAGAAATTGAAGAAAGAAACAATAGTTCTTCACATGGAAGAACAACAAAAAGCATCAGTTGACGGGTCTGATTCACGCAGAGTATAGCTATAAGAAAAAAGTGGAAGAAGATGATAGAGATAAGAAGCAAATGGGGGAACGTGGCTATTAGGAAAAAATCAATTGTTATGACCCATGAGTGGGTGAGATAAATTTGGGTGCAGAGAGATTGATTGTGCGGTTGTGAGTGGAGAGGGGTATGGTAGTCATTGAGCCTATATTTTCTTACCAAAAATAGAATGTTGCAATTATTTTGAAACTTCCAAAAAAGGTAAGTGTTGCATTTATTAGAGAACGGAGGAAGTATATACTTCGTATTATATATAGATGTAGCATCCTATAGTATACTTGTATACTCGTAGCACAGTTAGCACTTAACTGTAGTTTGATGTAGGAGTATATAGCAGGTCGTGAGTGAATAAGTGATTATTGTTAGTATTTTATATATATGAGGTTACTTTTGTCAATTTAAATGAAGACACTTCCATTACTAACACTTCATTTTTTTAACTCTCCCAAACAAGGTATGGTTATGTATAACACTTACACTTACCTCCCTTTCCGGGCCCTTGTCAACACCTACTAACACTTCCATTACTAACACCTTCCAACACTTCATCCAAACGTTGCCTTAAAAATCCTTTGACTTTGCACCTCATTCAGAAAATTTTCTTCACAAAATGTTATGTGTTGGGGTGCAAAATCAAAATTTTTTCAAAATGGGGTGCAAAGTTCAATATCACCCAAAAATTGGGGTGCAAAGTCAAATTCTCCCTTATAATATTTTTTATATGTTGGATTGTTGGAATAGTAAATTAATTTGGCTTTTCATATTCATAATTGCATTGATAGGAATGCTGTATGTGACTTCTAAGTTTTGAACAAGAAAGCGTTTGTTTTATGTAATTTGATATTTTAGTGCTCATTCGATATCAATTTCTGTGTTGCGTTATTTACTTATTTTTGAAAACTAAAAACAAGGTTATGAAACCCCGAAAAAGGTGTTTTCTAGATTTTCATTAGCATTTTCGAAAATAAGTACAACTACTTATAGTTTTCGAAAATCGTACTTATTTTCGAATTATATAAATTATAAATAACTACTTATAACATAACATCTAGAATCATTAATTTGGGCAGTGATGCCGCATTCAACTTTCCATGCTTCCCCGAAGGAAAAATCTTATTCTCCCTGACTATCTGAATATCTGATGCATACAAACAGGAAGATGAGTGAAGAGGGGTTTTTGCTGGAAGTATTTGATAAGTTTGTTGCTGGGCTAAAAGAAAAGGCAAAAGAGAAGGAACGAAGACGACGGGAAGAGAAGGTATGTAAATTATCTTACCTATTAACTCCATTTTCTCACATGTTTTCTGATATATCAACATGTAGATCCTGTGAGTAGAAGGATAATTTGCATTTTTTAGTTTTTATTTTTACTTTTCTGTATGCAATGAAAACTAGGTTATCATGGTGGTCTGAAGCTCTACCATAGTATAATACAGTGTGCAATGTGATCATAGTTTGTGGGTTTGCAGGCCAGAAAGGAAAAAAAGGAAAAGGAAAGAAAAGACAGAGAGAAGGAAAAACATGGAAGGGTTAAAGACAGAGGAGATGAAAGCAGGAGTGGGAAAGAGAGGAGTAGGAAGGAGAGTACAGACAGTGGGGGTGATAAGACTGAACCATATAGTATTGAAGACAACAGAAAAACAGAAAGTGAGAGAGACAAGAAACACAGGAAGCGGCGGCATTCTAGTCCCATTGATGAGGATGAAAATGAGAAGAGTCGGTCAAGGAGTTCCCGACAACATAGTAGTAGTGACCACAAGAAGTCAAAACAGGTAGGCAAAACTTTTTTTAAAATAATTGAGGTGAAATATTGTTGTTACAAATTAGATTTGGAACAGCAAAAGGTTCGGAAAAAGCTTAGTGTAATGCTATGAATTTCATGCAAATGCCCTTTAAGTTGAGGGTGTGCGACCTACCCTCGTCCCTCCCCCCTAAATTTAGTAGGGAAAGAAGGGGAAAATGGAAAAAGAAATAAAATTTGAGTGAAAATATAAAACGTAGTCAAACTCGACAAATCCATTTTGAATGTATATATTGAAACACATTTCATTTATTCATTTCTATTATACAAAGACTAAGAAATCTAAACATACATTTTGTTAATCAATATTCCACCTTGTATAATTTAAAGGTAATTAAACGTAAGAAAATAGCTAGCCTTGCCGCCTTGGAAATTTTTGTCCTTTCCCTAGCATTTTAAGACATCCAACTTTCTGTTCTTGTTATCTAATATATGAGTGGTTTGGTGGGTGACGGAGCAGCATGTATGGGCAGCATCTGAAACAAAACCTGATGGCCACCACAGGAAACACAAGAGAGATAGGAGGAGTAGCTCTCATCATAAAAGTGGCGATTATGAAGACGATGGGGATGGCGAAGCCCGGTAGATTCTTTCATTTGTTGTTTCCCGACTTGTGTACATTTGTTTTACCCCCCTCCCGAAAATTCATTGACTTAGTGTAAAGTATTTATGCATACATTCAGAGTAGGGGAAGAAGTGATGTAGGCAACAACAGACTAGGAATTATTTGTTATTCAGGCCTACTTGTAATAATAATATATTAAACGAGAGGAATATGAAATAGATTCTTTAGAGGATGTATTTTTCAATGAGTTTTGGATGCTGCGATTGAAGTGTCCTAGAGAGTACTCTTGGGGAGTTGGGCCATAAGAGTACACTCGGTCCGATTCAGTTTCCAATTTTGGAAGAACCCTATATGTTCCTGGTTTGATTCACTGTGTGGTTGTGGGCAGTTCTGAACCGTAAAACTTTAAATAAAAAACATTGAACTGGGTTTGGAGTTGACAAATTTCGGCCCAAATTTCAGGTTAATTGGATTCTGACCGTCCCACCAGTCATGGTCCTACTTAGGTTGGAATTCTGGTTTGATCCAAGACTAAAGTCTAGAAGGTTCCAACTAAACCAGACCATGCCTAGGATTGAATTGTAAGCTGTTCTCTCCATCACTAAATTAAGGATAAGGTACATTTTTTCCTATATCATTTGTGTACATTTTTAAGGGAGTTTTTTAACGTCTAATAAATGGGCGTAACTTATGAATGTATATTATAAATTTAAGGGGGAAATGTACCCTTATGCTTGTGCCTAAATTATCTACATATTTGTTTGTTCATCCCTAAATATCACATTATCACACATACGGAGTATAATTTTAAGGAAATCATTTTGTAGTTCACATTATTTCTTTATTAGTTCTACACTGGCGATTACACTGGGGGGCGTGTAACCGTATGTGTAACCTGGCTTGTACAAATAGCATTTTAAAGTTAATATACAAATAAGAGTGGAACGAATTATAAAATATTTAAGGGAAGATGGAACGGGTAATATACTACGAAGGGGTTAATCGCCTCAGTCCAACACACCACGACGGCATGACTCTTGCGGTGTTTGGAACATAATACGTAATGTAGATAATTTAAGTAGAAATTGAAACATAAAATGACACAAAAAACACTGTTAAAATAAGAAAATAAATACTAGTATATAGTTTAATTGAATTTTCCATTTAAGAAATGAATGAAATTTTGATGAGAGGAAATATAAATGAAAATAACGAGTAATTCGGAATATGTTGCTGATCTAGCGAGTCGGGTTTGAATTCGGCTTAGATTGATTCGTAGTGATAAAGAAAAATTAAATTTCAGTTGAGTTTCAGCTGAGTTGATAAATATAGAGCTTGGTTTGAGTTGAGTTTCATTCGAGTTGATAAATATAGAACTTGGTTCGAGTTGAGTTCGAATTGCATCCAATGATCCAATCTAAAAAATGATACTTGTATGTTTTTAAACAAGGAGTTTGATATGTTATACATTTAAACATGTATGTGCAATCATAATAATATTTTAAACAAAGAAACACTGTTTTAAATTTTCTGCCTAGTTAAAATCTTCTTAAGCGTTGTCCGAGAATGCCTAAAGTATACATACCGCATTTAAAATATTGCCTAAAATGTTAAGCAATATGTTAATCTCTAGTAAAATTTTAGTAAAAGATAAGAATAATTTTTATGCAAGGATCCATACTATGAAGATACTCCTCTATCTCATTGAATTTTGTCAACTTTTTTTTTTTGTCTCACAAACTTTATCACACAATTTTTACTTTTCTTCTACATAAATCTTAAACAAACAATTTTTACTTTTCCTTTTTACACTCTAATAAAAGTAGGGAATGTCCAATGGGATGAATGATGTATAATACAGTCATATTTGTGTCTAAAAAAATCAATACTAACTCATAGTTGAGTAGCTTATTAATTTTTCGAGTCGAATTTTGTAGCTTGAATTTGGTTTGGTTTGAGTCTAATTGAGTTTAAATCGAGTCAAGATACGTTCGAGTAAAAACCGAGTCAATTTCATGTCTTTAAAATATACTAACCGAGTCAATTTCATGTCTTTAAAATATACTAAGCATGTAATTGTGACCCAAATCTCACAAGTTCATGTCTTTCAATGGATTATTGGTAGTACAAAATTAAGGGATAGTTCCCGAAATAGGACTAAAACGGTTTGAAAATTTCAAAATAGGACTGACATATTTTTTATTCCCAAAATAGGAGTAATTATTGTCACGTTTGAAAAATACTGCCATGTTTGAAGTCTGGTACTGCCAAAACATGACAGTAATTAGTCCTATTTTGGGAATAAAAACATGACAGTCCTATTTTGGAATTTTCAAACCTTTTTTAGTCCTATTTCGGGTAATATTCTCTACAATTAATAGTGATGGAACTACACGTAGCAGTGTGAGAAGTGTAAGCAGTGTTTGAAACTGATTTTGCTTCTACTCTTTTCAAAACCATAAACAAAATAGAATCACTTTTCAGAAGCTGGTTTCCTTCAACTTCTAAAAATCTGCTTCTATGAATAATTTGGAGCATTCAAAAATACCTTTTCATTTGAATTCAAACACTCTAATATCTGTTTCTAAAGTAGTTTTAAGAAGTAATTTTAGCGGTGAGGTCGAAGGGTCTCTAGAATGAGCTGTTTTGTAATTGTCACCAATACAATAATGCATAAGTTTTGATACTTCGTACTCCCTCCGTAACTTTAAAATCTTCCCATTTGAAAAATAGTTAGATTAAAAATAGTGAAAGAGGATATAAATTATTGAGGGTTTGGTGGGAAGATAGTGGAATAGTGTGATGGAAGTAAGGATAAATCCCAAAAAAATAGTTGTAATAGTATACGTAGTATTATTTTCAAAATTATTGATGATATAATAGGAAGATTTAGAAATGATAAATTTTTTTAGTTACCAACAAAAACGGAAAATGTGGGATTATTTTTTTGGGTAGAAGTATCAGAACGGCTATATGCTACGAGTAAAATTGTGATGGAGAATATGACTGCACTATGAGTGGATGAAATGTGTGGCGCCAGAACCAAATAAAAAAGGCGCCCAGAATAAACGAGTATAAATCATCGTAATCCCTTTTGGTGAGTTTCCAGATCTGATCGAACATGAGCCGGAAAAATCAGTTCTGGCTACTGAAAACGGAGCCGGGAACGTGGTCGTGGGAGGACCAATCCGCCAACGGGGGTTTATCCAAGTGGGACGGAGTGAAGAACAAGCAAGCCCAGAAGCACATGAAGTCCATGCACCCCGGCGACCTCTGCTTCTTCTACCATTCCGGCAACAAATTCCGACGAGTGGTCGGCGTTGTCAAGGTGGTCCGCGGCTGGTACGCGGATGATGACACCGATAAAGACAGTGGTGGCGGAGCGGTGGACGTGGAGGCCGTGGGAGAGATGAGAAGGCCTGTGGACTTGGCGGAGATGAAAAGGGATGACGCGCTTAAAGGGTTTGTGCTTTTCGGGCAGCCTAGGTTGTCGGTTGTGCCTGTGGAGAGAAGTATATGGGAAAGGGTGTGTGAAATGGGGGGTGGATATAGCGGCGATGGGTTGGGAGATGATGATGATGATGATGATGATGATGATGATGATGATGATGATGATGATGATGATGATGAGGAGGAGGAGGAGGAGGATGAGGAGGATGAGGAGGAAGAGGAGTAGGCTTCTGCAGCTCAAGTGTTTGTGATTTTGTCTCAGAAAGGTTTTTGCTCTTCTGATATCTTTGTCCAGTCAGGAGGGTGAGGGACTTTTGTACACTTTTGGGATGAAACTGTCAAATTTTGAATTGTGCCCAGAGAATTCCCCAAATTTGCTCCTTTGTTTTTCTCCCCAAGCCCCTATGGAACGTTGTATTTTGAGAATCTCTATATGTGTTTCTTTTACTGTGTGTCTGTGTCTATGTAATCCTGAAGCTTCATGTTTAACTGTTTAAATTTTAAAACCTAATCAACCTAGGTTTTATATTATTTAAAAGGATTCAACAGTTTTTAGTTGTATATTTGTTAGGACAATTTTGAATAGTTTTTTACAAAATAAAAGACCGTTTTTGAGATACTGTAGTGGACAACATTTTAGAGAAAGTCAATAGCATTAATTAGTTACAACATCTTGTTATATCAAACAGAACTAAATAAAATAGTTAGTTATTTATCAAACAATTACTCCCTTTGTCCCATTTTACCTGTCCTACTTTTCTTTTCGGATTGTCCCAAAATAAGTGTCTTCTTTCCTTTTTTGGAAAGAAATATCTGGTCTACACCAATTCACTTTATTATACTCAAACTTCAACCACAAATTTTACTTTTTTAACCACTTCATTAATAACCGTGTCAAGTCAAACTAAGACACATAAAATGGGACGGAGGTAGTACAACATTTTCCTTTAAGGTGTTTTCAGTCAATAAAAGTTAAGAGTTATTAAAAAGTTCATAAAATTATTTTTTTCAGTTAGTTGCGTCAAACATAACTACTATGCTTGGATTCTTTGTATGAAGACTTGGATGTTGTACATTATTTGCTATTTCTAAAGAATCTCCAGGTTTTTTCGATAGAAAAGATTTATGTGTTTATACGAAGTATTTGAAATTTATTTACTTCATAAAATAATTTTTTGGAGTAAAATATTAGAGTAAAAGAGTACCAAAATGAGAGAGGAAAATGAAATATGGAGAGGCAGTACAAAACTTTCAGCTAGGGCTGGGCACGGGCCGGGTCGGGGCGGGTAATGCAAAATAAAATGGAACCGCCGGTTCCATTGTACGCTCTGGTCCGGTCCGGGTATTACAATTTTCAAAATAGGAACCGGAAATTACCCGGCCCGTTTGAAACGGGTCGGTCCGGTCCGGGTTTTACGGTTTCTATTCTCATGTCTTGAAATTAGTAAAAACTCATGAAGTTCCAAAAATCAATAATCAATAATATAGGACATTAGCAAGTTTCAAAATAACAACATAGTGGTGCACACGTAATACAAGCGACAAGTCCAATACTCCATAATTTCATGTATATAAGTTTCAAACAATTAAAGAAATTCCAAAAATATGCAACCTAGTCAACATACATATTTTCTAACATTTGTATTTAAACATGTTGTCTAACATCACATATTCAAGTGATTGCTTTTTTTAATATTAAATTTTCAGTATTAGCCAAAGTTGACACATACATGGTGGGTGGTAAACACAATTTATATATTTTAAGAATAATATAATAGAAAATATAACAAAATCATTTTTAACAAATAATTAAATTCCATTGAAAGGAATAATTTAATAACAATAAAAACTAATAAGATATTTATGAAACATTTAATCAATAATTTGAAAACAAAAGGATGTTACTCCAACTCAATTTAATATATTATCACAAAACTATTTCAAAATCGATTATCACAAAACTATTAATAAATTAATATACAATATATATAACGGGCCGGGCCGGGTACCCGTTATTTTTTAATTTTGGAACCGGTCCGGTTCCTTAAAAAAAATTACCCGACCCTACCCGGACCGTTTTATGGCAACAAAAAATGGAACCGGCCCGTTTTGGACCCGAACCGCCATTACCCGGACCGGACCGCGGTTCCAAGAAGAGTTACCGGTTACGCCTGCCACTAGTACAAACACACATGCAAATATTATTTCAAAAAATCACGTGCCAATATAATACTCGTACCTTTTAAACACACTAATAGTATCACGAGTCTCATACTACGTAAATTGTTTGTATGTTTGTTTCTACTTTATGCACTCGTCCCTTTTAATTATGTTAGTGACTTGACTCACTTGAGCCTTTGACTTCAATTTTGGAGTACTCCCTCCGTCCCCTTTTAAATGGGACGGGAAATGGTGGCACGAGTTTTAAGAAAAGTGAGTTTGTGTGGTTGATATTAATTGACAAAGTAAGAATAAAGTAAGAATGATTTTGAGCCACACAAAGTTTACCAAATAAGGTATGGGGCAATTAAATAGGGGCATCCCAATATGGTAAAACGGGACATTTAAAAGGGGACGGAGGGAGTATATGTTATTGCTATAATAAATCTCTAGTGAAGCTATACAATTTTATGCATTTAAAACTGCTGTCTTCTACTGTTTCGATCAATTTTTCAATTTGTAATGTTTAATTGCATCATTCTTCTTACATGCATTGAGACATTGACTCATTGGTCCGTGTTTGGAAAATGGCTTTTCAACCAAAATATGACGGTTTGGCCCTAGCATTGTTTGGAAAATAGCCATTCGGCCCTGTGTTTTTGGACGGAATTGCCGAAATAGAATAACTCGGTAGCGTTTTGAAACATGAAGTTTTGTACTTGTTGTTATGGTCAATCAGCTAAATTATCATACATCTTCTGACAATCCGCTAACTTATTTCGCTAGTTGAACTCGCTCACTGAATCCGCTATTGAAGACCTGTTAATCACTAACCGCTAAATGCCAAACAAGTCTATTGACTGTCACATTTTACAAGAAATTTATACTAGCTTGTTTGACCTTATGTCCTGCTCCGGGTTATTAGTTCTCTTTTCTTCATATTATAGCATAAAAGGCAAATACACAAATGGGCTGGGCTTAATGGAGCTTACGGTTGATACCTATCCATATCCATTTGACCAGGGAGGGTTAAATGACTTTCACTCTACGTACCTGAACATTACCTGGCCGATGTAGTTCTAGCCAATAATTATGCGCCATCAACAGGCATCATATTTTTTTTTCTTATTTTTTTATAGTTTTTTTTTTTTGCATCATATATGATATTATTCCTCATTGAGTCCTTTATAAAGATTGGATTCCTGTTTCTTATACTGTGAAGTTTTTGTTTTGTTCTGCTGAACTGGCGCTATAGTAACATTAATACACAGATAGCAGTGAATTTGAAGCTAGTATCTGTTCTCTTTTTTCCTTTCTTTTTAGGTGTGTGTATGTGATAATGTGATGTGTCCACTGGTCACTTATGGTCAGTCTCCTGATTGAAGATAATCTTCAAGCTTAAATTTTTATTCTGATTTCTGGTCCAAAATGATTTGTGGGCTTTTGTCATTGCGCTCAACTGCCTTCAACTTTTATGATTTTGTGACAGCTGTCTTAAATGGGTTACAAATCCCCTCTGGATTTATTCCAAGATCACATTACCTTTTTTTAAGAAGATTTTTCTGTTTCTAGTTCCAGGACTGCATGTACTAAAGTTATTGATACCATTATGGTATTATTATTTCCTTTGACCTGGTGCATTATCATCTCTTATTTTACTCTAAAATCATAACATACCTCTTTCACCAGGTTGAGGCAGGACTCTGCAATGTGGAAAGGTGATGGGGATGAATTAATATCAATATTGAAATGTTGTTACTCTCTAAACTACTGAAATACTTATGCATAAATACTAAGAAACCAGTATTTAAGAAAAAATCAGGAGTAAAAGTAGTATTGTATGACTAGAATACCTATTTAATTTTTAAAAGTGACTTAATACCACATCTGTCCCTAATTTATCTCCTGGTATGACCTTGAATGTTTTTTATAAAGTGAAAAATGTGCTATTGAAATTTGTTTATAGCAAAGAGAAACAATGGCAACCAAGATTCATTTCCTCAAAAGGAAAGGAGATAATTAAGGGAAACAAAAAAAGCAAGTATGAAGATAAAGAATGGACAGAAAGTATTACAGGTAAAGAAGTGTGATGGTAGAAAATTACTGATTACTGCTCTGCTGAAACTCTCAAGTGACAGTGGGTTTAGAACATAAGTTTTTCTCTAAAACCAAAGCTAAAAGAGAACAGATTCCAAAGATTAAAATTTTATGCTAATTAGGTCTAAAACTTCAGTGGAGATGGATGCATCCCTTTGTTGTTTGCACTTTGCAACTTGCATCAGCCATTTAAGTTAGTGGTGCTGTGGTATACTCACTGCAAGTTCAATCACTGATAGATAACACATGCATGGGGGTCCCTAAAGTGGAAATTTGCAGAAAAGATAAGAAAATGGAAGCCATTTACAGTTTATGTGCAGGGCAGATTAATGTTGCTGTCATGACAACTGGGAACAGCCCTAGATGAAACATTCATTAGTTCACATGAATTTTAATGTGTTTTATATATCTGTTCAGAAACAGCCTAGAAATAAACTTTTGTGCCATATTACAAGGATTGCAGGTTTTGCTTTGGTTGTAGTTGGCAGCATCAAAATGTTCTCCCCCATGCATTATTGCTTCCCTTCCCTTTCCTTCATGATTGGTTGTAAAGTTACAAACCATTATATCCCTTCTCTTAATCTCTTGTATTCTTGTTTATTTGGTATTTGGAGGATTATAGTTTATCAGACAGTGTTTTTAACAACCCTTAAAGCTATGCTGCAAACAGAAATTAATGGATTGACAATTTAAAAATAGTGCCCAAAGCATTTATTTGTAAAAAGTAGGTAAAATGAATAAGCAGAGAGTTTCAGCCCCATTTTCATTTTTTTTATTATGCCAAAGAAACACTGCCATTTCAGCCAAATTCATACTTATAAAATGGGTTCTCAGTCCTGGATTAAGAAATTGAAAGAAAACTATTACTACCCACGGAGTATAATATTGTGAACTTTACGAGTTTGAGGATCTCTCAGTTCTCACCTGAAAAACTGAAAAATCTAATGAAGTTTCATATGATATAAATCTAATTTATCTGATTTGTTATCTGACTGACCATCATTTTGTAACATTTAGTTTACCACAAATATTAAAAGATTAGAATTTGGATTCATTATGGGAGCAGGCCGTAATTCTAATGATAACTTGTCAGGACACTAAGAGACATTTAGGTTTGCAATGATATGGAGAACTTTTTGGTATGGAGTTTCAATGATGTAGTCTTGTCTGGTTTCATAACTTTTTAATATTTTATTATTATTATTATTATTGTTATTATTATTACAATCATTATTATTAGTTATTGCAACAAAGTGTTTGGGTAGTATCTATTGCTTACATTGGAATCTGTTGTATATTGTCTTGTTTATCCAACTGTTTTGAGAATGATTTAAGCAGAATCTGTTTCTCCAATGTAACAGTACCAAAAAGGACTCCACCAACATCAGTTAATTACCTTCTTTACTTCTTTGTAAAAATGCTTTGCGCTGGCATAGTAGTTAACTAGTTAAATGAAACAATTGCAATTCTAAGAAACAAGATGGGATCTTTTTTCCTTTTAGGCTTGGGTTGTTTACCCCAGTGCATTGATAGCTAAAAGAATAAGAAAAGAATAGAATCAAGAGCAACATTTCTCTGTTATTTTTCCAGAACTAAACATTATACTAAGCTGCTGCCAACATCAAAAGCAAAAAATGATGTCCTAATATCCCCATCTCTTTTCAAACCACCTGTCAAGATAAAATAATCAAGAGTAAGAAAAAAATCATGGCTATAAAGATAGGAAAAAATTGTGAAAATGACTACTAAATAACTACTCATTGGGTAAAATGTTAATTATCAATTTTAAGGCATAAATGTTGCAAATGCAGTTACGGACAACTTAGCCAGTTGATTTTTGGAAACTACTATACTTTAGCACACACTTAAATTAATTTTTTCCAATGGGTATTTATTTATCAATACTCAAGGGGAAATCCCTAAAGAAAGCCTTTGTCTATTAAAAAAAGAGAGAAAAACAGAGAAAGGAATTAAGGAATATATGACTCAACTGGTTTGGTTGCAATTGAAAGAGCTCAGAGTGCTCTTGATGATGTGTAGACTGCCCATGAAATTGAGTAGTTGAGTAGCCATGTGAAAAACCTGGTACTACAACATTCTCTCCTGAGCTGTGATTGTTTTTCTGGCTGAAGTTATTCTGCACAAGAAAACCATTCATTTGGCTTTTTATTATTTTATTCCAAATAATCAGTAAATCCAATGAAACCAAATATGTTATGTCAAAATCAACAGTACCATTCTATGTATTCTGTTCATAAGCAGAATGAACCAAGTAAGCTACCAAACATTGATTTAGCCGATTACAGCTACCAAATAGAGCCTTATTATTTTTTAAATGAAGCAAAAAGAAAAACAAATTTTGCCCAATGGAATTTGGCAACTTACATGAGTGGAGGTGAAGATGGGAGAACTGGCTGTATCATCAAGAGCAGAAGAAGCCTTTTCCTTTAGCTTCTCACGCCTGTTTGGTTTCTTCTTATGGCTTTTGGCATCCACCTTAGCAGGCAACAATAGTGCAGCATCAATAGGAGAATTGTCATAACACAAACCAAACTCCTCCTCTCCAAATGCTTGTGGAGGTCCAGAAGATGCATCTGAAACCATAGACAAATCCTCTTCCTCTTCTTCATGTTTATTTATCATACTTTTATGTAAAAACTCATTACCATGAGAATATGTAGTGCATGGAGGAATGAGAGAGTTCTCCAAATACATAGTCCATCCAGACTCACAGCCACTGTCATAATCCATCTCTAACCAAAATAGCTTAGTAAGTAGAACTGAAAAGGGCTCTTTTTGGTTCCTGAAGGAGTGAGGAAAGCTCACTATGGGAGTGTGTATGGTGTATTTGTATGTAGTAGCAGAAGTTGGTTCCAGCAATGCAAGTGGGTGAGAAAAGAACAAAGAGAGAATCAGTGCTGAAAATCTTACAACTCTCTTTTTTTTGTCTTGACGCATTCTTTATTTTTTGGTTGTGAAATGTGTGATTGTGAATCACAAAAAGTGACAGCTGGGTTTATTGTTTTTTTGCCAAAACAAGGAAGAGTAGAGGCTGTCGTGTTTATTAACAGCAAACCTCTTGTATGCATGTCCTTTCTATTAACTCATCATATATCATAGTACAAAATAACATGTAATTCAACTGAGCTAGTTAACTTTTCATAATGCAACTTCAAATCTTGATAGATTTCAAGCCAATTAAACTATAACAGGAAATTAGATCCTAGTTAGCCTCAACGACGAGTATACATACGTCCTTGGGCGACCTCTCATATCTTAACATTCAAGCCCATAGACATTATCTTAATTTCACATTAGTGTTTAAATGCTACTCTATTTAGTGCATGGAGGAAATGAGGAATGAGAGAATTAGCGTTTCAAACGACTCGGGCCTCTGGAGAGGAAATCACTCCTTTTATGAACTACGGAGTATGTATTAGCGTTTAAGAAGAATAAAAAAAAATTGGATCTTGTTAATTATCTTGAGTATTGGATTCTATGGAGCTTACTCATGTAAAACATGATTTGTTATAACTATGAATTGAAGCCGTTTGGTAACATTGTTTTTCGGCTTATTGGGCTTATCAGCCAACTTTTTCACCAAACACGTAACTTTTATTTTCGTGCGCTGAATTGTGTAATAATAAGAAAAAGTAAGGTTGGCGTTACTTTTGTGGCTGTATTGGCTGAAATTACTGTAGATGACCATTTTAGCTATTTTTACATATAATTTTTTTCTTTATTTTATTAATAAAATACATTTTGAAAATAATTGTTTCTTAAATCAGCAGAATCAGCCAATGTTGCCACTTCCGCCAACACTTCATAAATTTCAGCCGAATCAGCCGATTTTAGTGTTACCAAACGGGCTCTATAGTATTTTTTTTCGCCTGGCTCTTCTTTGTGCTGTTTTCTAAGCCAATAGATCTAAAGTTAGGACAATGTGGGATTCTTGAATTATATCTTTATACTTGGAGAATATGGGAAGACTTAAGCTGACCTTAAATATTGGTTTATATCTTCAGATTCTACCTGTATAATTAAGATGACTTTATAGTTTATACTCAAAGTGATTTTTTGTATAATTCCAAATGTAGAACCTAGGCTGCTCAACAACATTTGCATGCTATGCTTCCATCTTCTTTTAATTTGCCCTCATTATTTGGACAGCTAGCAAAGTATTCATCCCCCTTGCCTGCTGTGTAGAGTCACTACTTCACTGACCCAACCCACTCCCTAGCTACAAACCTCATCAGAATTAGGTTGTTTTATATAGCAAGCCTATCTCACAACCATGTGTTTGTTTAAAGTTGTTACAATGATTGTTTGTCTATTAGCTAAAACTTCCTTGTACAAACCCTAATTAAGATAATAAACAAACTACCCAAATTAAGATTATTGAACGATTGCTATTAGAGCACCAAGGAAGATGACCCAAACCGTTTTTGACGGGTTCAGCCCGACAATGTCGATAGATCACATACCGAGGATCTAACCACTACAAAAAAAAACACGGGATTGGCAAAGATTTTGGCACGGATTTGGCACGGATTTTGGCAGGGATACGCCAAATCCGTGCCAAAAACACTTTGGCACAAGCTATTTGGCACGAAAAATTGATAAGTCCGTGCCAAATTCCGTGCCAATCCCGCCTTTTTTTTTTGTAGTGAACGTTGTTGTTATTATTATTATTAGGGAAAATTACTATTAACCCCCTTAGCTTTGATCATTCTCACTATATGCTCCCTTATGTTAATATTTGTTAAATTAAATTTAATACAATTTTATTTATCATTATTATAAATCATTGTTCTTGATCGTTATTTTTTACTTAGCTACTCGTTCGTGGAATAAATATTAATGAAAGTAGTTAAGTTAGATGACTCACGAGCTACATAATTTTCATGAGATATATCAAAGAAAGTTGTTTGAAATATTGTGATCAAAATTCTTGACACCTCTTCATCATGAATATAAAAGTCTTGTTTGTAAATTGTAATTCATTCGGCTAAATTTATTTCAATGACATTTTTTTCGTGTGTAGCAAAGAAGAAATACCAAGAAAAAAGGAATTTTATCAATCCATGACCTAAAAGATTGGTCTAGTACTAATAACGAACCTAAAAAAATGTTCGATATTGGGTGGAAATAATTGTAAGCTGTCAATCCATCTAAGACCTAAAATATAGATAGTATATACATGATCGAGTTGATAAGTAAAAAAAATCACGATCAACAACAATGACTTATAATTATGATATTAAATTTTATTTTACTTTAAATTTAATTTTATAGACAACTTTCATTAAATTTAAGAGTTGTATTGAATTTAATTTAACAAATATTAATGTGAGGGAGCAAACAGTGAGAATAATAAAAACTCAGGGGTTAAGTAATTGATTTTCGAAAATGCAAGGTTGCATTAGTAATAATGCCATAACCTCAGTGGGTTAATAACAATTTTCCCTTATTATTATTATTATTGTTGTTGTTGTTGTTGTTGTTGTTATTGTTATTATTATTGTTATTGTTATTATTGTTATTGTTATTATTGTTATTGGGTGAAGTCTCAAATAAGACATTAAGGTTATTTGAGAAGTTCAAATTGGACACTAATCTTTTAAGTGGATCAAATAAACACATAAATAACTTATTTGAGCTACATTTAGCCACCCACTAACATTTCCTTAAACGGACAGTCCATCTTAATATTAACCATCCATTATCCTTTCCTTTAAAGCTTCAAACCAAATCAATACATACCCACGAATTGCTGCAAAAGCTTAATAAATCCATTTAACTCCATTAGTAGGTCACAAAGCAGCTTTAACGTTTCTGAAATACGAACCAAAATTTCGCTTCAATTCCTGCCATAGCCACTCTCAGAGTAGGAGGTTATTCTCAGAGCAAGGCTCCTAGGCACCCCGCGCATAGGTCGAAACACCTTTTCTCCGTCAGTGGATTTGGTGAGTTGCTGCAGTTGACTTTGAAGCTCCGGTTAATTATGTTACCCCGTGGCACAGCTTCTCCGCAGCTGGTAGATCTTATGCAACCGCTACCAGTCGAAGCCGTCAGAGGTGAACAATTTCCCCAAAAACCGGCGAGACCTGTGTGGCGGATCCAATTTTTGCTTATCCGGCTTACCGTGAATTTCACTAGACGCGTCAATGGTTTTCTGAACACCGCCAAAGTAAATTTTGGGTAGAACCGGGACCATTAGAATAAGTACAACCAAGAAAAGCTAGAAACTTGTTAGAGTTCTTTTGTGCAATTTCTCCACTTGTTCGACTTCTAAGTTTTTTCATCTTTGATGTATTAGTAATAATCTATTCTCACACGTTTGAGATGAAGGAACTAAAAGAGAAGCATGTCTGGTGGAGAAGTTTGACAAAATAATTCTACACGTTTCAGAACTAAAGAAACGAGAAGAAGAGAAGAGGAAGATGACAGGTTTTAGACTAAGATAGGATAGGAGGCAGTTGAGAACGGTGATATGACATAGGTGTTAAAATTGGAGCACCGTTAAATTGAAAATAGAGTGGGTGGCCAAATGTTATCAAAATAAATAACTTACGAAGTATGTGTTAATTTGGTCCACTTAAAAGCTAAGTGTTCAATTCAAGATTCTTAAATAACGTTAATGTCCTTTTTGAGCCTTCTCCCTATTGTTATTGTTATTCTTGTTATTGTTATTGTTATTATTGTTATTGTTATTATTGTTATTGTTATTATTGTTATTATTTTTATTATTGTTATTATTGTTATTATTGTTATTATTCTTATTATTGTTATCATTGTTATTATTATCATTATTATCATTATTATTATGATTATTATTATTATTACTATTATTATTACTATTATTATTAGTATTATTATTACTATTATTATTATTACTATTATTACTATTATTACTATTATTTTTATTATTTTTACTCTAGGGGGTCTGGGGTGCTTAAAGTAAACTGGACTTAAACTCACTCCATTGAGTTTCGAACTCGATACCTCCCATAAGAGAGAGTGAGTCGGCGACCAGTTGAACTGGACCGCTTCCTCAGGATCTAACGCTATAACTAATCGACTAATCGTCATTTTATTTCAATGACGATAGTAAAACATGATAACGCCCAAATATTAAAATACATGATAGATAAACGCCCATTTTGTACTATTCTCATTTAAACTTTATAACTTTTTTATTAATAGTGGTAAATTTTGATCAATACGTACACTTTTTTAAAGTTATACGGTGTAAGGTTTATACTCTCGAAAAATACTAGTAGAACTATTCATATTATAAATAATTTTGTACTACGTATACAAATATATTGTTGGTCAACGTTTAAAATTACGGAGTATTCACCAAAAAAATCAAACCTTTCTCTCTCCTACTAGCTAGCTCACATGAAGAAAGACCATTTCAATACAGAGTATAATGTAATAAAAATATTTTCTTTGTCCCATATAAACATAATATAATTGATTTGCAATTTGCAATTTTTGAGATTAGCTCGCGATAACGCTAAATCATCCCTGCATACCATTAAATCAGTTTTACTAATAGAAGTTTACATATTCAGATTTTAAATTGAAAGCTTTATAAAGTCTCAAAATCAAAATTAGAATATGATAATAAAAATGACATCTAAATAAGTAATTAAAATCAAATTGTGATGACAAAAAAGTAGAGTTATCAAATGAATTTGGGACTTTGCAAATAAGAGGCCGTTTGGTAACACTGAAATTGGCTGAATCGGTTGATTCTGCTGAAACTTCTGAACTTCTGGATGAAGTGACTGGATTGACTGATTGTAATGTGAAAAAGAGAAAAACCATTATATCTAAAATATTTTATATTAATAAAATAAAGAAAAAATTACATGAAAAAATAGCTAAATAGTTCTCTACACTAACTTCAGCCAATACAACCAGAAAAGTAACTCTAACCTTACTTTTTCTTATTATTACACAACTCAGCGCGCAGAATCAAAATTTACGTGTTTGGTAAAAAAGTTAGCTAATAAGCCTGATAAACCGAAAAACAGAGTCACCAAATAGGCTATAAGTGTGTTTGGGACTGAGAAAATAAAATTTAGTAGTGGTTGACTTGTTAGTTGCATGAAGTGGAAACTCAGCTCAATTATGATTAAAGAATCCCACGTCAACAATTTATATACTACATTATTAATTTGCACAGTGGATTTTAAGATTGAGCAAACTCTTTGTACCACCTGAGAAGAATTTGATCGATAGATGAAGAATGCATGCAAAGGGCGTGTTAATTAATTAAGTGTAATGAAGGTGCAGAAATCGTTCAGAAATGGAGTGTCAGTTCCAGGTTTACAGCTCACCGGGGGCTCCATTCATCATAGGCCGTATGAATAATGGAACTATACTCTTGGACCACTACTTAATGAAAAAGTAGGTAAATTAATAATAGTGAAAGATGATATGAATTATTGAGAATATAATGAAAAAATAGTGGAATAATGTGATGGAATGTAGGATAAATCCAAAAAGGTAGTTGTAATAGTGTACTCCCTCCGTCCCAATATAAAAGACACATTTGTGTTTCCACACATTTTTAGGGTGAACACTGTTTGAACACTGTTTGGCACTGTTTGGATATTGTTTAGACACTGTTTGACACTATTTTGCACTGTTTTGTTTGGCAAAAAAGGAAATGTGCCTTTTATATTGGGACGGCCCGAAAAGGAAAGTGTGTCTTTTATATTGGGATGGAGGGAGTATTATTTTAAGAATTATTGGGGGTATGATGAGAAGATTTACAAATGGAAAGATTTTTTGTTACGGACGAAAAAAGAAAGTGAGAAGATTTTTTAGTTACGGAGAAAGTAGTATTTATATAACTCTGCATCATTTCCCAAGTTTTATTCGAAAATAATGTCAAATAAAAAAATATTTACGGAAGGTCTAGTTAAAACCGCCAATCCATTTGGCTACTCTTGCATGCGAGGGAACAAAGCAGCGTAGGTAAGGTAAAATAATAAGTTGGTGGGGCCCATGTTATAAAAACCACATTTTTTCTTTAAAAGGCTATAACTTTATCATTTTCACTACAATTTTTTTAAAAAAATATATCAAAATTCATAACTTTATATTGTCTTTCATATGACACCAATATAGAATATATAAATTTTAATTTTTTTTAAAGGCTTATTAACTCTTAATTTTCAATCTCAATACGAAATATTTCATACAGAATATTATATAAAGAAATTATTTGTATTATATGGCGAAATTAAAGATAGAGAGTGAGCATGTGACTTGGTAATTTTTAAAGACAGCTATTATTTTTAAATTTTATATTGTTGTGGCTATAAATGTGTACTCATAAGACCATTTGGAGTGGTGTGGAGGTAAAAATGTCAAAAAAAAAACCTACGTTTTAGGCGAAATATGTTTTTATATTGAAACGCTAGAAAAATTAATGAAATTTATTTAATTTTACATCGAAATGTATATTTTTATTTCATAATTATTCAAGGAAAAAATTATAAGGAAAACATTACTTATAATAATTTAGTTATTGCTTTACTAAATTGATATATATATATATATATATATATATATATACAAATATGTTTGGTATATTTTAATGACAGTGCTGGAATGTAGGAAAATAGGAGTTAAAACACTCTTTTTGTATGAACTAGGTCAATTTTTGACATTTTTACCTCCACACCACTCCAAATTATCTTATGAGTACACATTTATAGCCACAACAGTATAAAATTTAAACATAATTATCGTCTCTAAAAATTACCAAGTCACATCCTCATCCTCTATCTTTAATTTCGCCATATAATACAAATTGTTTCTTTATACTCCGTATAATACACCATCCGTTCTCTAATACTCATCCTTCTTTTCATTTTGGATTGTTTTCTTATATTTGTCCCCCTTTCCATTTTTGGAAAGTTTTTCAATAAATATACTCATTTACCCTCATTATCTTTCCTACTTTTTCATTTAAACATAACCTACTACACCATTTACTCTGTCCCTATTATTTTCTTCTTAAAACTTGTGTCAAATCCTATAAGAACAACGAACTAATGGAGAACGGATGGAGTACTCTGTATGAAATATTTCGTATTGAGAATGAAAATTAAGAGTTAATAAGACTTTGAAAAAAATTAAAATTTATATATTCTATATTGGTGTCATATGAAAGATAATAAAAAAATTAAGAATTTTGATATATTTTTTAAAAATATTGGAGTGAAAACGAAAAAGTTATAGCCTTTTAAAGAAAAAATGTGATTTTTATAACATGAGCACTACCAACTTATTACTCTACCTTACCGTACCTTGCTACTTCCCTCGCATGCAAGAGTCGCCAAATGGGTTGGCGGTTTGTAAGTCACCACTTCGTTTGGCGACTTTGGTTAACCAGAGTTAAATCCAACAGTATTTTGGTAAATAGTTTTAACTGGACCTTAATTCCGAAAATAATTTTTTATTTGACATTATTTTCGAAAAAAACTCTTATTTCCCAAAGAATTTACTATTTGTGGACATTAAAAAATGGTTGGGTTGTGTCTACAAATCAACCGGGCTTTAAAGCTAGTGCTAATTACCCGAAGAGTCCAATTTTGTGCTTAGTATTTCATTTATGTCCACCTCCGTATTATTTTTCACATTTAACTTTCAACTTTTCAATTTAGTTTCTTTATTTCAAAAAGAGTCAAAACATTAAACACAATCAAATCCAAAAAACCTGGCTCTGCATCGACCTCCGTCTTCATCTTTTGGATTCTTCGCGTCGGTGCATCTTCCATATTTTTCGACCAATTTTTAACTGCCTTACACACAGACTCCACCTTAAATTTGTCGTCGTTGATCTCTCAACCGATCTCAACGTGTATTTTCAGATCCCTAATTCATTCACGTATCCGTCTTCGGCTTCTCCTCTTTCGTTCTGCAAAGCATCGACGTCATCTCGCCATAGTCGCTAGTTACCGCTACTTGGGATGTCAACTCGCCAGGCCCTCACAGCAATGACAGCCTAGCCGTCTTGCCGCACTCTAGCTTATCAGCGAATTCAGGTAACTCCTCAAGTGCTTCTTATTCCTATGTCATCTCTGAGTCACACTATGTCTTGAATGGGAAATTTTGATTAGAATTTTTCGTTTGTTAGGTTTTACTGAATTAAAATTGTATAGTAAACTTCACAAAATCGAATTCTCTATTTCCCTGTATGAAACTAATTTGGTTCATGCACGAATTGAAATTTATTCAAGTTCTAGCCTACAGTTAATCAAGGGATGCAACTAAACTTCTGGATTCAGATCTGAAACTGAAGTAAATTTATAGATCCTCATTTACCAACTCAAGGTATCAATCATTGTACTCCTTTAAAAAATAAAACTTCTGGATTCAGATCTTTCAATACTTTTGTTGGATTGTGAGTAACTTTTTAAGTTTAAACTGTTTTATATTCGTGAGAATAATGACA